ACTGGCGTACGCCAGCGTCTGGTGATCCATGAGAAAACGCCGATTCAGCGCACATTAGCGCCTAGTTAGCGTCGATTGTTGCCGACTGACGTCGACTGGCGACGGTTCGCGTCAGTTCTCAAGAGCCAGCAAGATAGCCTGGGATGTTCAAATGACTTGCCACCGCAGGGTGGGGCGGATGTCATGGATCAGGGGGAGGACAAGACCACCCCGACGATCATGTTTGGCCTACTGCCGAGAAATCCTTGCTGAGCAGCCTTTGCCACACGGCTTCGCCTGTTGGGGTGCTTTCTGTGAAGGTGGCTCTTCCGCCGGCTTCCTGGCCCTCGGCCCCCCCCGCCCTCGCCCCCTTCGCGCTGGCCCTTGCCCTTCGGGAGGAGGAGGGCGGAGGAGGAGGAGGAGGAGGAGGAGGAGGAGGAGGAGGAGGAGGAGGAGGAGAAGGAGGAGGAGGAGGAGGAGGGGGGATGACTTCCCAAGCAGTGATTGCACGTGGGGGTTCTTTCTTGTGTGCGTCATCGATCGGGCGGGGTTCCCCGGTTTTGGCCAAGTTTCCGCCCGTGGGCGCCTCGTTGCAAGCAGTGGCGAAGCGTCTTGGTTCGCCTATAGCCCTGCGAACGAAAGTTCTAAGAACCGCCTGTGGTTTGGACGAACTGCTCTTAGAGCGTTTCTGGCTGAGGCCGTCTTGCTTTCACGCATCGGCTTGGGGGCCCACGGACACCGTCTTGCTATTCGCATGTTCTTCTGTTCTGAAAACATGCCGTGGTGGGCCTATGGGAATTCCCGGAGGGTCGGTCCCCGCTTCATCGTGGGCGCCCTCTCCCTCCTCCTCCTCCTCCTCCTCCTCCGCCCTCCTCCTCCGCCCTCCTCCTCCGCCCTCCTCCTCCTCCCCTCCTCCTCCGCCCTCCTCCTCCGCCCCTCCTCCTCCGCCCTCCTCCTCCGCCCTCCTCCTCCTCCTCCTCCTCCCCCTCCTCCTCCTCCTCCTCCTCCTCCTCCTCCTCCTCCTCCTCCTCCTCCCCGTGCGCACGGCGGGTTCCCCGAGATGTCGCCGCTTTCCGCTCGAGGGCGTACCGCTCGTGCGCATGCCCGCTCGGGGGCGGTCCCGTGCCCGCTCGTGGGCGCCTCGCGGCATCCACCACACAGGCCACACCACACAGCTCCTCCTCCTCCTCCTCCTCCTCCTCCTCCTCCTCCTCCTCCTCCTCCTCCTCCTCCTCCTCCTCCTCCTCCTCTCCTCCCCGTCTTCCTCCCTCCTCCTCCTCCTCCTCCTCCTCCTCCTCCTCCTCCTCCTCCTCCTCCTCCTCATGCCCCTCCTCCTCCTCCTCCTCCTCCTCCTCTTCCTCCTCCTCCTTACCGAGCTCACTCGACCCAGCTTGCACCACCTGGCTTTCGCCGCGCAGCTCACACAGCGCAGCTCAGGCTGCACTGCTTGCGCAACGTAGCTTGCCCCACACAGCTTGCGGTGCATAGCTCACGCCACATGGCTCACACCGTACAGCTTCCACTTGTGCAGTGCAGCGGCTCACTGTTTGGAGTCCACACTGGCCAGAATGATAATGCGAAAGGGAGGTGGAGGTAGGGGGAACAGGTAAGAAGGAAGAGGAGGATGAGGGAGTATAGGGAGAAGAGGGGAAGAGGAGGGGGAGTACGGGGAGGGGGATGATGATGATGATGATGAGGAGGAGGAGGAGGAGGAGGAGGACAGGATCAGGAGATGGGCAGGAGGGGGGAGGAGGAAAGGGGGGGGAGCGGGGAGGTGATGTGCAGTAGGCGGTTGCACGTGCATGCCGACACGCGCTGTCGAAGTCTCCAGTCCATGAGCGGAGATTTTCTCTTGAGGCCGTGCCGGCCAAAGAGCTGTCGGCTGAATGATTGTGATGTCGTCGGGGCTCTGCCTTGTAGATGTTCTCCGCATTGTGGACGGAGAAGGCGTTTCACGGAGGCCTACAGGGGAGCACACAGTGGGGAGTACGGAGCGCACGACGCAGGGGATGGGGTGTGGAGAGCACGATGCATGGGCGGTGCCTTGCGTTCTGGGCCTTCCCTATATATATATATATATATATATATATATATATATATGTATATATATATACACTGTCCTCGTAGTGTGCTACATGTTTTCCGCATTATCTCCCTCCTCCTGTTCCCCCTGCTCCTCATCGTAATCGTCCTCCTTTTCGTCGTCCTTGTTTGCTCTTTTATTTGTATGATCCTCCTCCCTTTCCCCCTCGCCCTCCCCCTCTCTATCCTCGGTGCCTTCTTCGACGTCCTCATCCTTCTTGCTCCCGTCCACTCCTTGTGCTTTCTTTCTGACGCCCGGAGAAGGGAACAAGAGAACGAGAGAGCCATGCATGTATATACAAAAGTATACACATATCTATGTGTGTATATTTACAAATATACATATATACATATATACATATAAATATATCCAGCTGCCTGCGGCAAGTTTCGCCACAGTGCCAGCCCAGCCATTCGGGTGGCGGCTGTTTGGGGGGTCAGTAATAAGTGTAACAGGGAAGCTGGCGGGAGGTTGCTGAGAGCCGGGTCAAATTCCGAATAAAAGGGTGCCAGGTCGAGTTTTGCTTGGCATTGTTCATCATCCGGTAGCGTTGCCGCGCGTCTCCATTTTCCAGTTGTGGGAGTGGAAGGCGGGAGCTCTTCGGGGGGTGGGCGGCAGCAGGCCTTAGGGGGGAGGGCCCATGAGGCTCCGCTCGATGCTTTTTTTTTTGGGGGGGGGGCCGTGCGCCCGCCAGGCTGTCGCCACAGCTGTGTGGCTTCCAGTGTGCACATCGGAATTCTGAGTTCGTGTGGGGTCTATGGCCGACAGGCCAGCACCCGAGTGGGCTGCACTAGCATTAGGTCGTGCCTGTCCTCCTACAGGGGGTTTTTGGACGAAAAGTTTGACACATTCCAAAAATATTCAAGAATTGCCAACACATGCTAAGACATAGTCCCAAGACTATTGTTCGACTATTTTTGAATCTTCTTCCTGTAGAGGGACAGGCCCAACGTAACATTAGCAGCATCTGCCGCAGCACCTCCAGTGTGAATATCTGGCCATGGTCTGCACTGTTCTGTGGTGCTTGGGGTACTGGAGGCGGTGCCAGCAAGGGGGCGAGGTGCAGAGACTCAAGTAGGAGTCAGGCGGCGGCTGCCTGATCGCCAGTTGCAGGGAAGGATACACCGCTGTTGGGTAAAAGGCTAGACGGACGGTTTCACAGAAAACCTCGACAATCGCCAGGGCACGTGAACCCTCGGTGACCCGATGAAACGGGAGCCTTTGCATCATATACAGGCATGTTGCATTGCCCAGTTGTTGGGCAAAGCACCTGGCGGGAATTGGCCGTGCGGTACTCTGGAGCGGAGGCCTTCTTTGTGCACGAGACAAATTGTTGAAAGCGCGTTCGTGTCCAGCCATCGTTCCCATCATGAGTACGTTTGGCGACTCTTGTTGGATCGTGCATGCAAGCAGCCAGCGAATTACATGTTCGTTGTTTTGTTCGCCCCATTTGGACGAGTTGCCAAGGATCCTGGCTCGCTTCGTCTAGTGCATGTGCCATGAAGAGGGTGGTTAGTAAGTAGTAGGACGAAGAAGAAGAGATCACCCCGCGTCTTGCCGCCACACATGATGTGCAGACCAGCGCCTTCCGTATGTTTGCCCAGCCGCTCGAAGGGTTCCCTCTCTCACCTCGCTCGTCCCGTCGTGCACCGTGTTCTGTTTCTTAGTGAGCTCCCCCGCTGGCGTTTCTTGCTTGTCATTCCCTTCTGCCTCCCCTCATCAATCCCTCCCTCCTCTCCCAGATCCTATTCTAGATGCTTCGTAGCCCCACCAGCCCATCCAGAAACGATGACCAGGCGACTTGCCCTGAGCAGGCATGTTGGGTAACACGCAGTGAAATAAAGGCTGGGAAGCCGTCATACCCAAGAGGAGAAGGAGGAGGGAGGAGGGAGGAGGAAGAGGGAGGAGGGAGGAGGGAGAAAGGAGGAGGATGGATGAGGAGGATTCGGCGGATGAGGAAGAAGAAGAAGAAGAGAAGGGCGAAGAGGAAGGCCAGGGACCTCTTGGATGCCTCTCTTCGGATGCCTCTCGGGAGTTTCTTGTAGGCCTGTTTCGGCGTCTTGGGGGCCTTTAGGCGATCCTGGGGGCCTCTCGAAGCGTCGTGGTTGCCTCGGGGAAGCCTCTTGGGGCCTCTTGGGGCTCTCTTGGGAGCCCATTGGGGGCATCTTGGCGGCTTCTGGGGGGGCTCCTGGACGCCTCTTGGGGCACTCTTGGGGCACTCTTGGGACACCCTCGGGAGCCTCGGGGGCCACCGTGAGGCCATCTTGGATGCGAGCGACCAAATGAGGGGGATGTTCCGATTAGCTCCCCACCCCAGGAGGCAAACATTGGCCCGAAACCTCAGCAACATCAAGTCAATGATTTGGGCCTTCTCACCGAGGCCATCTTGGACGCTCCGACCCCTCGCGAGACGCCCTGTCCAGGTCCAGGGGGCAGGGGGAGGGGCAAACCCTTCCCCAAGGGGAAGAAGGGGGGCTGTAAGTCAAAACGCTCTAAACCACTCACGCCCTGAAGGGCTGGTGGGATTTCTCCGGTTCCTCCTGCCTCCTCTTGACTCCGTTGCCTTTCCTCCTCCCTTAAGAACTCCCCATCTCCCGCATCGTCCCTCCTCCTTGTCATTGGCCCCTCATCATTTTCCGCTCGCTCTGCCCTCCTCTCATCCCAAAACTTTCCTCCTCATTCCCTCGTCATTCCTCATCTTGCTTCTTCCTTTTTGATCTTCCCTCTTTGCTTCATCGTTCGTCAATTCCTCCTCTCCCCCTGCCCTCCTCCCCTCCGTTCCTTTCCATGGAAATTTCCGGGAGGCAAGCAGCATCCCCCCTCCCTCCCTCCCCCGTGGCCTTACCCCCTTCCCTCCCGTTTGCCCTTCCCCTTGCCCTCCTTTCCCTTGCCTTCCCTCGCCCTCCCCCCTGTTCCACCCTCCAACCAGCGTCCGCAGATCAATGGCATCATGCAGAACATGCACCCCAAAGACGTGGACAAGGCGGGCCCCGATGAGGGTCGAGGGAGGGGGGCGGGGGGATGAAGGAGGGAGAAAGGGAACGGATGAGGGAATGAAGGGAGGAGAGGGGACAAAGCAGGGAGAGAAGGGAGGAGGCAGGACGGAGGGGGGGACGGAGGAGGCAGAATGGAGGACGGAAGAAGGGGTTTTGGGAGTGCGAGAATGAGGCAGAAGGGAGTACAGCAGGGAGAAACGGAGAGGGCGGGAGAAGACATGATTATTTTGTTGGCAGCGCTGGCGGTCGCAAGCGCGGCTGCTGAGTCGGCGGGCCGCGCCGAGGCGAAGAAGTGACAGGAGGGGGAGGAGGAAAGGAGAGGGAGCGAAGCTGGCCTGGCGTCGTATTTCGCATCGAGTTGCTTCGGCTGGCGGCATCCTGGTAAGCCAGTGCGGGCCAGTCGTCAATCGGTGCCCTGGGGTGCCCCAGGTCGCAAGGTGGCCTCTTTGCCTTTTGTGTGCTCCTCTGCCTCTGTGACGTCCGTTTCCTGCGGGGGGGTCCCCGACCTTTGAGGTGCCACATGGCCTCTGTAGCGCCACCCCCACCTTTGGAGAAGTCTTTTTCTGCATGGTTCCCCATCCAGCGGCTTGGCTCTGTTACTTTTTGTGGCTTGGGAAGGGGACGCTATGTTCCAATCCTTCCGATCTGACGTCTACAGCGGTACACATATACACGCATATACGCATACGAATAGACGTACGTAGCACCCCGCAATTGCGGATAAGAGTAAATGGGCGGGCGCGGGCGACGCGGGCGTCGAGCCGGCGGACCTCGTCGCCCTCACTTTCTTGTCGATGGCGCCCATTTCCTCCTCCTCCTCCTCCTCCTCCTCCTCCTCCTCCTCCTCCTCCTCCTCCTCCTCCTCCTCCCCCTCCTCCTGCTCCTCTTCCTCGTCCGCGTCTTCGTCGTCGTCGTCGTCGTCGTCGTCGTCGTCGTCGTCGTCCGTCGCCTCCTCCTCCTCCTCCTCCTCCTCCTCCTCCTCCTCCTATTCCTTCTTTTCCTCCTCCTCCTCCTCCTCCTCCTCCTCCTCTTCCTCCTTTTCCTCCTCCGTTTGGAACGAATGCACAAGAAACCCGCCGCGGGCGCCGAAGTTTTGGCTTGTTCAGTGAACGTAGTTTGGGTCGCGGGTGGGGTCGCGGGCTCTCCACCTCCACCTGGAAGGAATGCAAAAACAGCCCGCCGCAGGCGCCGAAACTTTTGATTTGTACACTGAACGCGGTTTGGGTCGTAGGTTCTCCACCTGGAACGGCTGCAAAGGAAATTTGCCGCAGGCGCCGAAGTTTTGGCTTGTTCAGTGAACGTAGTTTGGGTCGCGGGTGGGTCGCAGGCTCTCCACCTCCACTTGGAAGGACTTCGAAAACAGCCCGCCGCAGGCGCCGAACATTTTGATTTGTACACTGAACGCGGTTTGGGCCGCGGGCGGGTCGCAGGTTCTCCACCTGGAGCAAATGAAAACGAAGCCCGCCGCAGGCGACGAAAATTTTGGGTGGGTCGCGGGGTGGGTCGCGGGTGGGTCGCAGGCTCCACCTGGAACGAATGCAAAAGAAACCCGCCGCAGGCGCCGAAAATTTTGGGTGGGTCGCGGGGTGGGTGGGTCGCGGGTGGGTCGCGGTGGGTCGCGGGTGGGTCGCGGGTGGGTCGCGGGTGGGTCGCGGGGTGGGTCGCGGGTGGGTCGCGGATGGGTCGGCGGTGGGTCGCGGGTGTGTCGTTGGGAGGGTCACGGTGTGGGTCGCGGGCATATCGCGGGGTGGGTCGCGGGTGGGTCGCGGGTGGGTCGCAGGGTGGTTCGCGGGTGTGTCGCGGGGTGGGTCGCGGGTGGATCGCGGGTGGGTCGCGGGGTGGGTCGCGGGAGGGTCGCGGGGCGGGTTGCGGGTGGGACGCCAACAACAACAAACAACAAACAACAAACAATAGACACCAACCAAACAAACAAACAAACAAACAAACAAACAAACAAACACAACAAACACAACAACAACACCAACAACAACAACAACAAAACCAACACCAACAACAACATCAACAACAACAAGAACCCGCATCGCGGAATTCCACTTCAGCCACGCTGCAAGGGACAGTGAATGACCGTTCGGTTCAGCCCCCTTCACTCTGATATATATATATGTATATATATATATATATACACACACGCATATACATATACACAAGCAGCTACACGTTTACGTATACATATACAGGTACATATACATACATGCATACATGCATACATACATACATACATATATATGTGCATATAAGCTGACATACGTGCATACATGCACATAGACATACATGCGTGCATACATACATACAAACATACCTGCTTGCATGCTTGCATGCATCCATATGTTACCGCTTGCACGCGTATGCAGTATGTTGATGGGTATTGGGTTCCCAGTCCAGGGGTCCGAACCCACCTGGGACATTCGGGTTGCGCCCGCGCTACCTTCCTGCAATGGGGGGTCGTGGAGGCTTCACATGGTTCCAAGACGGCCCACAGTACTCCCAACGCGGCCACAGATATCCACCAGAGGCATCGAAGATCGGCCGAGAGGTTTCTGAGTCGGCCCACGAGCGCTCCAAAACGGCCCACAATGGATTCAAGACGGCTGAGGATGTGGCGTCCGTAGCCATTTGGGCTCAAGCCGTCTGGACTTACGTTGTGATCCGGTTGAATCACTACCCTCGACGCTCACAGTATCACCCATTGGGGAGCCCCCCAGGCCCCATGATGCAGCAGGACGCGCCGCCGGCCTGGATGCAGGGCCTGCCGCTGAACTCCTGCAGTGCGGCGTCTGCTCTCTCGGCGCTGCAGCAGCTGGCGCCGCACCAGGACGCGATGCAACATCATGTCAAGGGGTGAGCCTTGAGTATGCCCGTGCCTACGGACCGCCCGCAGCAGCGGCAGCCGCCCGATGTGTCAGCATCGTGTATGGCCTCGGCTCAGCAAGCGAGTGCCGCGCTGGCTCAGTTGGAGGCTGCGGAACAGGAGCTTGCTGGCAGCAGAAGCAGATGGCGGAACAGTACGAGTCCACACAGATGGCGCAGGCGAAGCTGCAGGTTGCGAAGACGCACCTCAATAGTATGCAGGCGGCCATTCTCGCCATGCAGGCTGCGAACCTCAACCAGGGCGGCGGGCTCCCGCCGCCCGCAGCGGCCCTCGTGGGCGTCGTCCCCCCCCACTCCCTGGGGCGGGACGAGCATGTGGCATTCTGGACTGGCGAGCAGGAGGGCCTGGGATGCAAGGCCCCTTCCGCGGAGGGCGGCGACGCCGACGTCTTGACGGGCTGGCCGCTGCGCGCGGCCGCCGCCAGACAGAGCCGCGCGGGCGCGCAAGCAGCGGTGGCTCCGCCGGCGGAGGATCCAGAACCCGCCCAGGCGGAACCCCATTCGGCGCCCGTTCTGGCGCCGGCGCCGGAGGAAGACAAGGGCCCCGAGGGCAACGTGGGCCAAGACATCCAGAAGGCGGTGGCGGCCTTCCTCCCGCGCGACGGCTACGAATCCGAGGACGAGAACGAGGGCGAGAGCGAGGAGGCGCGGCCGCAGCCGCCGCCGCCGCAGCTGGCGGAGCGCGCCCAGGAGCCGCCGTAGCCGGCGGAGCCCGCCCAGAAGCCGCGCGCGCCGCCCGCGACGCCGAGCGCCGAGGGGCCCACCCAGGGCCTGCGCGGCCCTCTTGGCGCCAACGGCGCGGCCGCGGTGGTCACTGCCGCTGCGGCCACCCACAGCTCGCAGGCCAAGCCTGTGCAGCAGTTGCATGGGGGCCATGCGTCACGCGGGGCAGCTCGACCCGCACTGGCCCATAGTGGGCCAGGCCAATCTCCGGCGCTGGGGGCGCCGCTGGGATACTCGCCGCCGCCGGCCACAGCCAGCAGGCCGACGGCCGACTCGAGCAGCCCGTCCACACCGGCGCTCGCGCCAGCGAGGGCGGCAGATGTCAGGGCGGAGGAGGTGCGCGCACCAACGGCTGAGCGCCATGCTCCGCGCGCGGCAGCTCGACCCGCACTGGCTGGCGGGCCAGGCCCGCGCGCCCCCCAGCGCCAGGGGCGCCGCCGAGGTGATCGCCGCCGCCGCCGCCCAAAACCAGCAGGCCGACGGCCGACGCGCGCAGCCAGTCCAGCCCGACGCCCGCGCGGGCCAGGGCGATGAAGAGTTTGCTGTCAAGCCGATGAGGGCCAGGCTCCTGGCAGGGCAGGTCGACCTGTACGAGGTGTGGAACCGCGTCGCCATGCGGTCTGGCGTCGACGACGCCGCCACCGCTGCCACAACCGCCGCCGCTGTCTACGGCCAGCGCAGCCAGGAGGTCGGCGGCCGACGCACGCAGCCGATTCGCTCCGACGCCCGCGCCAGCCAGGCCGATCATTAGGGCGCTCTCGAGCAGATGGGCCCGCGCGAGGTGTGGAAGCACGTCGCCTGTCGCTCTGGCGTCGACGGCGCCGCAGGGATGTTCGCCGCCGCCGCCCACTGCAGGTCGCAGGCCGACGCGGGCAGCCCATTCGCCCCGAGCCCCGCGCCAGCGAGAGCGACGATGAGGAGGGCCCACTCCAGCAGCTGAGCGCCGTGCCCCACGCAGCGCAGGTCGACCTGAAGGCGCTGATGGACCACGTCTTCACGCCCCCCGGCTTCGAGGGCCACGCCGCGGCATGTGCCGCTGCTGCCGCCGGTGGCCAGCAGGTCAGCGGCCGACGCGCGCGGCGCTTTTTGCCCCGGCGCCCGCGCCAGCGAGGGCGACGGGGGAGCCCCGTTCGAGCAGCTGGATGGCATGCTCCGCACAGGTCAGCCCGCGGTTGCTGGCACAGCGCGTCAGAGTGCGCGTTGGGCCGTGCGCCCGGCCCTCGGCGCGGCCCCGCTGGGCTCTGCGGGCTGGTGGCAGGCCCTGCCCTCCTGGACTGCGCCACGACGGCCTTCCTGGACTGCACCTCGGCGCCGCACCCGCCGCGCCGGGCGGGAGGCGGGCGAGCCCGGCCGCGGTGGCGGGCAGCAGGAAGCAGGTTGTGTTGGAGATGCTGCTCAAGGGCCAGCTCCGCCCGGAGCGGCTGCTGGGCAAGATCGACGAGCCCGCCGCCGCCGCCGCCCGCGCCGCCGCAGCGGCGCGTGGAGGCTGGCGCCCCGGCCCGCGCTGTGGCGCTGGTCGCCGGCTCTGGCTCCTCAGAGCAGGCCCGCGCGCCCGCCCGCGCGCCGCCCGGCGTCGCCGCGGCGGGCCGCGGCTCGGCGAGGCACGCGGCGGCGAGCGTTGCCGCCCGCGGGCCAGCGAGGCCCAGCGCACCTGGCACTGCCAGACCTCCAGACTGCACGGGGCGGCGACGCGCGCGGTCGAACACCGCCAAGGGGATCGATTCGGACGGCGAGAACGAAGTGAAGAGAGTCTCGGAGGTCGACAAGGCGGTCCACGAGATGGGCCAGAAGGCGCCACCACTGTCACGCCGCGGAACACCCCGAGGCGCGCGACGCAGAAGCAATTTCTGGAGAAGTTGACGGAGGCAGGGTCCTCGGGCACGCGGACCCCCCGCGCGTGCCATCCGAGTTCGGCGCCTGGGCGTGGAAGCGGTGCGCTTTCATCCAGTGCGCTGCCCCGCCGTGCCTCGCCTTGCCAGACATAGATGAGTGCCATAGCTACTGATGGCCACTCCCTGGCGGCGGCGGCCGCGCAGGCGGCGATCCTGGAGCGCGCGCCGAAGTGCACCGTTGCTGTTGTGCTGTGGCTGCTGTGGTTGCGGGCGCTGCGACGTCTGCGGCCGCGAGGCCCTCTGCGCCCGCGACTGCGCGCAGGGGGCGAGCTCAGGATGCGCAGTGCGAAGCTGAAGACTCCGATGATCCTGTAGAATTGCGGTAGAAACTGGGAGCTTCGCGCCGAGCCCAATGTCTATGCCAGAAGGAGAAGCGCAGGGCTACCAAGCAGGCGGCATATGATGGTCTAGACTTTCCCCCTCCTTCACCTGATGGCCCTCGGCCTCTCGCTGAAGCCGTGCCACCTGCAGCAGGCGCAGCCGGCCCGAGCGCAGACCTCGGGGGAAGTCTTGCTGCAGTGCCCGCTCCGGCACTTGCTCTACGTCCAGGCGTTGGTTCACCTTGCAGTCTGGAATTACCATGAATTCTCGGCACCAGTTCCCGGGGTCTGCTGCTGGGTTCCTGCCGCGCACTGGGGCGAGAACCGCCGGCCTTCCTTTGGGCGCGTTGGGGGCGACGCTGGATCCAAATCTGGTCGGCCTCAGCCTTCTACGGAACGGAGGGAGTAGCCTGCCCCTCATCCGTTCATACGGCAGTCCCGACATTGCCGTTTCGTAGATGCTCAGGTAGTTCAGTTGGGTGGCTACACATGTTGGACAGTTCTGCACTCTTGTACTTCAAGGGCCTGATGCAGCTCATCTCCTGATGGGGTAATTTCCATCTTCGGCTTCGCATTCCGCGCGCGCGCCAATCATAGTCCGCGCTTGCTGCCCCAAGCCTCAAGCAGCCTAACTCGTTGGTTTCCTAGAGGACAGGCGGCCCCAGTTCAGTCTCCTTTCGCGCCTTCATCAACTTTGCCAGTTGATCTGACTTGCAGGCCTTCGCACACCAGTGGCACGGGAAACGATTCTTCCACATTGGCAAGGGCTGCCCGCCGCTCAGCGCCAAGAAGGCTGACCTGCACGGGCGCGAGCCGAACGCGCGGAAGTGGGATGCGCCGCGCATGATGCACGTCCGCAACCCGATGCTGAAGCCGATCGCCCTGCAGGACCCGGCGCGCAACATCATGGGGGAGTTGCGCAAAGTTTTCGAGAAAGACGTGCGGGAGCAGCGCGGGCTGCCGAGGAGGATGCCCCCGGCGGGCGCGGCGCTGCGCCCAGAGCCGGGCGGTGCACGGCCCCGCGGCGGCCCCGCAGCCGCGCGCCGGCGACGCCCCCGCCGCGGCCGTCGGGCCGGCCAGGGGGCGCCCGCCAGGCGCGTTCCGTGTTTGGGCACGGCGTGCTAGTTTGGAACCCTGCCGCTTGCGCGGCCACAGTGACCAGTCGCCACAGTCAACCTTTGAGGCCAGAATTGTTTCGCGGAAGTGTTTAATTCTTTCGCGCAGAGACCGCGTTCCGAATCCAGAGTGAAGTTTGTAGTTTTTTGTTGTAAATGCCTTGCGTGGCTCTTCTTCGAGTCGATGTGTAGGGAATTCAAAATAAGCGTGTGTGTGTGAGTTGGTTTATGGGATTTATGAGTGGGGGGCTATCTTCGCTGGGGCGGGTAGCATCGCCAAGTTCACTCTCCTTGCATGCTCTTTTTCACGGTTGGAGTAACTATGTTCGATGTTGTTCCTCTGTCTCTGTCAATGTCTGGGCAATTCCGTAGACGCTGGCCCACTTCGGGGGAAAGTCAGTTGAGACATGCTACAATGGCACCCCCGGGACGGGGGGGGAGGGAGGTGGAGTCCGGAGGGTGGTGGATGGAGGAGGGCTGCCGATATCTCGATCGGCGGTCCTCCAGAAATGTGTCGCTGAGGTTCGAACCTGAGGCCCACTCCTGGGGCAAGCCCGCGGAGGCTCATTCGAACTGGCGTGGGTGCAGACTGTCAAGAAGAAATAACAAGACGGTTCAGGATGTGGGCCAAGCTCGAAGAGGACCCCAATATTGCCGCAAAGTGTAAGTAATATTGATGGTATTGTGAGTTTTGACAGAACGTGTGGGTTCTTTCTCTTTCGGGCTTGAAGCCCTTCAAGACGGCCCCAGAAGCCCCCACAGCCTAAGAGGTCCCCAAGGATGTTTCACGACGGCTCAAGAGGGCCCCATGACAGCTCAATAGTCCCCCAAGATGGTCCTAAGCGGGGGCACAGAGGGGGAACTCGAACGGATATTTCGAACCTTCTGCGCATCTCCCGTTGATTGTTGAAGGGTTGTTGAAGGGTTTTATGATTCCAGTTTGTTCTGGATTCCAAACATGCAAGACATCCTGAAGGCTTTGCTGCAGCATCTAGGGCCCGCTTGGATCCATCTTGGGCCTGTCTGGACGATCTAACCCCTCGCGCCCCCCCACCCCGTCAAGACCCAGGGGAGGGGGCAGGGTGAGGGGTAAACCCTTGCCCCGAACAGGAGATGGAGGGGTTTGGGAAGAAGGAAGAGCAAACTCGTAAGGTCACCTCCGCCCAGAGAGCTGGTGGGATCACCGGCACGCGCAAGAACAAGAGCAAGTGTGAGGGCAAGGCCGAGGGGAAAAACAGGGGCGAGAGCAACACGAACACAGGGAGGAGGTGGCATGAGGAGGGGGGAGGGAAGAGGACGAAGGGTGCGGAAGGGAGAAGGGAGTTGGAGGGGAGGGGGGCTCGGCGTGGGGGAGGGAAGGAGGGTTGGGAAAGGAGGGGGAGTGGCCGAACGGGGGGGGAGGAGCGGAGTACGGGGCAGAGGGAGTGGACAGGGGGAGGATGAGTCAGAGAGGGGAGATCATGTTTATGCTTCTCGCTCTCGTCCCTCTCTTGCTCTCGCCGCTTGTTTTGGCATGGTGCATGCCTTGTTCCCCCGGGGACCGCCGCGGGACACTGCCGCCACGGGCGCACCAGCGCGCCCTCCAGCCTGCGCAGGAAGAGAGAGAGAGGAGGGACGAGAGGTGCAGACGGGGAGGGGTCGGACGGGGCCAGGACGAGGATCAGTCCGTTCCAGGGCGTTCCTGGGCGCCCTCAGAGCGCCCCAATAGCGCTCTGAGGAGGCAGCGGCGCCCGAGACATCCTCCAGAGCCGCCGCATCGCGGAAATTCTCGGTTTCTCCTCACGCGATGTCATCCCCGTTCTGGAGGTCTTAGGAGGATTAGTGAGAGAGAGGAGGGGCAAGAGGGGCAGACGGGGGGGGAGTCACCCTCGTTATACCTCCCCCCTTTCCACCCCTTCCATTCCCGTCCACTCCTGCTCCTCACCCTTCTCTCCTCCTGTACCTATCTCCTCACCTTCCTCTCCTCCTCCTCCTCCTCATTATCCTCTCGTCCTCTTCCTTCCTCTTCCTCCTCCTTCTCCTCTATACTCCTTCCTTCCTCCTTCTTCCTCTCTCCTCCTCGCCGTCCCTCCTCTATTCCTCCTCCTTCCTCCCTCCACCTCCTTTCTTCCTTTCCTTCTTTCCTCCCTCCTCCTAACCCTTCTCTCCGTCAACAGCCTTTGTGGGACCGTCCACGGGCGGAAGCGGCCCCCCGCCGCGGGCATGGACGGATGTGCGCTGCGACGCGCCCATGGCGAGGGGAGGTCATATCGACGAAATTCCCAGAGGACGGCTGGCCTTGCGCCGGCACGCGATCTATCGCCTTCTCTCTCTCTACTTTGTTTTGTGTGCGTTTTCTCTCTCTCTCTCTCTCTGGAGGAGGAGGAGTAGGAGGAGAAGTAGCAGGAGGAGGAGGAGGAGGAGGAGGAGGAGGAGGAGGAGGAGGAGGAGGAGGAGGAGAGGGAGGAGGGAGGCAGAGGAGGAGGAGGAGGAGGAGGAGGAGGAGGAGGGAGGAGGAGGAGGGAGGAGGAGGAGGAGGGAGGCAGGAGGAGGAGGAGGAGGAGGAGGAGGAGGAGAGAGGAGGAGGAGGAGGAGGCAGGAGGAGGAGGAGGAGGAGGAGGAGGAGGAGGAGGAGGAGGAGGCAGAGGAGGAGGAGGAGGAGGGAGGCAGAGGAGGAGAAGGAGGAGGAGGAGGAGGAGGGAGGAGGGAGAGGAGGAGGAGGAGGAGGAGGAGGAGGACGAGGAGGACGAGGAGGAGGAAGAGGAGGAGGAGGAGAAGAGGAGGAGGGCGGGGGGGGGCAAGGGCAGTCCCTGACACCCAGGGGGCAACCGGGCCTGGGCAGGGCAGCCGGCGGCGGGCCCCTAGTGCCAAACCGCACCGGCGCGCGCGCGGCAGCAACGCCAGAAGATGTAGAGGTAAGGAGGAAGGAGGATGAGGAGGAGGAGGAGGAGGAGGAGGCGGAAGGAGGAGGGGAAGGAGGAGGAGGAGGAGGAGGAGAAGGAGGAGGAGGAGGAGGAGGAGGAGGAGGAGCGGAGCAGACAGCAAGCAGGGGCGGCCAGACAGAAGGAACAGGAAAGAGGGGGGCGAGGGTGGGGGCGGCAGTCGTGGGAGTAGTTAGTTGTCGCGGCGGTGGTCGTGGAGGTCGCTGTCGTCGTGGTGGTGGTCGAGGCGGTCGTCGTTGTGGTGGTGGTGGTGGACGCGGTGGTTATGGTCGTTGGCGTCGTGGTGTCGTCAAGTCGTTGGTCGTGGTGGTCGTGGAGGTCGTGGAGGACGAGGTGGTGATTGTGGTCGTGGTGGTAGGCGTCGTGGCGGTGGCGGCGTGGTCGTTGTGGTCAACGTGGTAGTCGACGTGGTGGTCGACGTGATGGTCGCACGGGCCGGGGTGGTGGCCGCGTTAGTGGTCGTTGTATTAGCGGCGGTGGCCACATCGTAGCTGGTAATGGTCGAAGTGGCGGTGGTTGTTGTGCTGGCTGTTTGGGGGCTGGTGGGCTGTTCGCGTCGCGCTGAGCTACATCTCCGCGCTTCCGAAAGCCAAGCAGCGGTGGATCTGCCTCCAAGTGGTGGGAATCACGCCAGACCGCTCAGTCTCTCTCTCTTCCTTTCTCTCTCTTTCCCTCTTTCTGTCTGTCTGTTCGTCTCTCCCTCTCTCTCTCTATCTTTGTCTCAATGTTTATGCCGTCCTCGTTTCAGGTCCTCGTGTTTCGGGATCGCCGCCACTTGCATCGATGCTGGCTGCGGACGTCCGGTGCCCCACCCTGCCGCCGCATCGCCAGCCACTGGACGAAATGGCACCGACTGGCAGATCAGGGTCCTCTTCGTCCCTTGCGACGAGCGCGGCTACAAGAGCGTCATTGCGACGCCCCCAAGGGGTTCGGCGGCGAAGAAGAACGCCTTGTGATACGCGCTGACGCCAGACGGCGACGTGTACCCACACGCGTCAACAGTCCCCGGGCTCTCAGGGCCTGCGGCGCTTGGCGGGGACGGCCATATCGCGCCTGGCAGCGCGGTGGGGGCTTGTTTTTGTGTGGGGGGGGGGGGCGCCGTCAAAGGCCTGCGGTGCGCGGGGGGGCCCGACCCACTGGAGGTGTTGTCGAGCCTCGAGCTCGCCGGGGTGGAAGGATTGGCTGTTTTCAAGCTTCTTGTGGAGCTATTTCATTGAATTCAGCTCTAGGTGGCGTTCTAGAGGCGAAGCGGTGCGATTTGGAGCCCGATAACCTCCACCCCGGCGGCGTCGTTGATGCACCGCCGACGTCGCCTATTCATGGCCAGTGAGTGCATCGGCGATACATCGGGGACGCGGCGCAATCCTCGAACGCCACGAACTCGGTCGCCATCTGGGAGGCCTCTAGGTGATTCCTCCCTGGCGTCTTTCGGAGTTGCGCGGGGAGGCGGAGCGCTTGGTCTGGCAGCCGAGGTGCTGCATGAGCTGGTCAGGGACAAGCTGGAAGCCGCCCTGACGCTCGACAAAGGCGCATCATGGACGCGCTCGGAGCGAGGGCAAGCACAGTACAACCATTCTCCGTCAACCCAGGGCCAAACATAAGGACTATCAAGTCTGCGCTCGCCGCCCGAGCCACCAAGAGAGCGTCGGGGATTGAAGATGCCCGAAGCACATCATCTCGCCTGAGGAAGCTCGTCCGCGTGGCTGGACACGGGGACAGAAGGATAGCGGCTCGTGGTGTTCTCCCAACTGGCGCGGACGCTTCGGCTGTGTCGATGGGGTATCTGGCACGCGCCTGGAGAAAATCATACGCGTGGAGTTTCCGCCACAGGCCCCAAAGCCAAAGGTCAAAGCAGGGGTGCCACATCCGATCTCTGATGGCAAGACAGACGCGCGGGCCCCTGCGCGCGAGCTCAAGAAAGTTCGGGGCATGATAGTGATAGAAGAGCAGGCCGGCCGAACATGCGCATCAGAACGAGGGTCCGTCCAAGCATCACCTCAAGCACTCGATGGGATCGGCCCGAGGGCCCACGGACCGTGTCACAATGCGCGCGCGAGGGTAAGGTCGCAAGCCCACGCGACGCGCCGCCCAAGCTGTTCGAACAGTGACCGAGCGAGGCCAGCGCAAGGACTTGACGGAGAGAGGCAGCGCAGGCCTTTCCCCCTCCATCTGTTCCAGAATTCGCCATGCTATCTTGAAATTGGACACCAGATCGAGCGTGGATGGGGAGCCTTCGGGAAGTTCCGCTCTGAGTTGCGTGGTAAGCATTATTATTTGCGTTCTAGGCTGAAGTTCATTGATTCTTATGTTACGGCTACAATTCTGTACGGAAGCGGCCGCTGGACTATGACCGCTGAGAGGGAAAGTCGCCTACTGACTGAGGGCGAATGCTGCGAAAGATCGTGCAAACCCCAAGGCGTCGCCTGCCAAACGCGATGGATGTGGAGCCTTGGGTGGACTGGATAAAGAGGGCCACTGACAAGGCATAGGACGCTTATAATCATGCTGGGTTGCGATGTTGGACAGTATTGCAACGAGAACGCAGGGACGCGCTCAAGTGTAGAATCCAGAACGCAGTGGATGGACATTGGGCGAAGCTGCTTCTGGAGTGGGAGCCAGTGGGGTCCAGGGCCCGGGGGGGACCGTGCAAAAAATAGACGGACTGATACCAGGTCACGTCATCAGGTACAAGTCAGCACTATGGGTTTCAATCCGCCGACCGGCGCGCGCGAGAAGCAGGTTGGAGGCCGCGTGCCAGCAGCCCTCCACGGGCGCGGGGTTGGACTCCCGCACGCCGCTCTCTCTCTCTCTCTTTCTCTCTCTCTCTGTTTGTTGTTGTTGTTGTTGGTGGTGGTGTTGTTGTTGGTGTTGTTGTTGTAAATGTTGTTGTTGCTGCTGCTGTTGTTGTTGTTGTTGTTGCTGCTGCTGCTGCTGTTGCTGTTGTTGTTGTTGTTGTTGTTGTTGTTGTTGTTGTTGTTTATGTTGTTTCTCTCTCTCTCTCTCTTGTTTCGATGTTGCTCGGGCGGTGTTGGCGCCCAACGGAAGAGAACAACCTTACCTTCGGGAAAAGGCCTTTCTCCCTGCAGCTGTCTGCCAGGATTAGGGGGCCACCAGCAGGGCGGCGCAAGCGGAATCTGTCACCGGGGACCGCTGCGCACTCTGCGGAGCCATCGGGGGCGCGCTGTTCCACGGAGTCTGGCCTCGTTGGGCCCCAGAGGTATCGCGACGGAGAAGTGGGCTAACCTCACGAGTGATTCAGCGGGACATAGGGAGGAAGAGGAGCAACGTCTTTTGCATACTTTCTGATGTTTGGATCACCCCGATGGTGACCAACATTCCTTTCCTCCTCCCGCATTGGAAGTGTGGATGCAAGTCGCGCGAGCAGGACCTGAACCAGTGGTGGGAGTTGCGCGCTGTAGCCACTATGGCCCGCCCATGGGATCTGGCGGGGCGCGTTCCAGGAGGGGGCCCAAGCGCCTCGGTAGGGCTGATTGGAAGGCCTGTGGGCGCGCGCAGCCCGGCCGCGGACGCGCGCGCTGGCGCGCCGCGGGGGTCGCCCGCTGTGGCAGGTCGCGGCGCGCCCTGGCGCCCGCCGTGCTGCAGGTTGATATTTGTTCGATTCGCGCCGCGCTCGCGGCGGCGCGCTCGCCCGCGGCGCGGGCCCGTCGGCCGTCTTGCCCCGCCCTGGGTGCAGGGCTGCTCCGTTGGAGGCGGCGCGCGCCCGCCCCGCCCGCCCGCCCGCCCGCGGGATTCGACGCCCAGGCTGGCCTGGTCGGGGGCGGTGCCTGCCACCGCAGGAGCGCCTATCGTGGGGGCGTTGCGCCCCGAGGTCCGAGGTCGGGCCTGCAAGAAGGGAACGCCCACATGTGTGATTGCCCACGGGAGACCTCCAACTGGACATCCGGGGCCCCGAGGCGCCCCCCTTCCCCAGACGCCTCATGTGTGTGTGGTGTGTGTGTGTGTGGTGTGTGTGTGTGTGTGTGGCGGGGGGGGGCGCATTTCGGCTTCCTTGTGCTTCAAGCGACCTTGTCAGAACAATCGGTAGCTTATGCGGACTGCAAGGCTACGTCAGATGAGTTTCACATGCATGTCGCCGCGGGGCTGTCCTATAGGCACATGTACTCAGGAATGAATGGTCAAAACCGCTCCAGCAGCGACAGTAGTAAGCGGTTTGAGGCTCGTGATTTAAATTTGAAGCCCACCAAAAAGAATGCGAACGTCGAGGACGCCCACCGCGTTCCATTCTTGATCCGTCAGACGTGCGATCTACCAGCGTGACTGGTATTGTCGGTGAATCCGTCGGTCGATCCGTCGTCGCACGCTTGCTTACATCATAATATAGATAAGGCCGCTGCTGTTCTCATGTGTACTACCAAGGCACTTGTCCTCGGGGCTCGGCACAGCCGAGAGGGCATGAACCCCATGGATGTCGGGTTGAATGAAAGGCTCGGCGGCATGCGCTCGTTGCGCATGACGGACAGCGTCTTGAACATGTGCCGTGGACATCTGCCACACTCAGATGAGGCAGCTGCTCTGCGCCAGGATGAGTCATGCCGCCCACTGCGCCAGCCTCTGTGCAGGACTTCGCCTGGTCCACCTGTCTCACGAGATGCTGTCTTGCGTTTGTGGAGTTCGTTGGCTGGTACTATGTGCCAGCTGCGACCTGCACACCGTTTTTGTCTTCAAGGGCTTGCGCAATCTGTGCCCGCAACCGCCCAATAATGGCAACAGCTATACTGTGCTACGTTTCCTCCTGGGGGTGCACCCAGAGTCGGAAAGCCCCTTTCGACGATGTTTCAGGTTCTGATGCCGTCAGCACCAAAAGTGATTAGTTTTTTCGAGCCCCCAGCTACAGTGCCTGGGGGCGACCGGGCCTGTTGGCCAGCTCGGCGTACATTCTGCACCTGAGTGAGAACCACACTCAAGATGCTCTTTCCCCCTTTCTCACATCCCCGCTCTCCTTCCTCCCAATCCTCCCCCTCCTCCACCTCCCTCGATCCTTCCTTTTCCCCCTCCATCATGTTCGTCCGTCCTCTCGCCTCCCTCCCTCCCCCTCCGTCTTCGTTCGTCCTTGTCGTTTCTCCCCCTTGTCCCCCCCCGTTTTCCTTATCCCATCCCCCGCAGCTGCCCCTTTTTCTTGTCGTCCGTCGCACCTCCCTTCGCACCTTCTCACGCCTCCTCCTTCTCCTTTCTCCATCCTCCCCCGCGTCCCTCCTCCCCCCTCCTCCCTCCCCCCTCCCTCCCCCCGTCCTCGCCCCCGGGAAGAGGATGAACAGGAAAAGGAAGGGCGACGCGGGGAGGAGTGCCGCAACCCGAGCGGTTTCGTGGTCGCTGTGATCCGCAGAACGGAGCGGGACGTGGGTCGCCCGTTGGACCCCGCCCGGCCTCCGCGCCCGCGAGTCCCTCTCCATCTATCCCCCTTTTCGGGGGCCGGAGCAGAACGCCCATGTTCATTCCGCCCCCCCCATCGCGTGGTTTTGCTTGCTACTGGCCGCCCTCCTCTCCCTCCCGTCCCGCCCATCAATCCTGTGCATCCTGGCCCCCCTCCCTTTCCGTCCCTCCGCATCCCTCCCATTCTGGTCACCCATTTTCGCCCACCCCTCCGCCCACCCATCCCGTCCAGGCCCCCACCCTCCCTCCCCCCATTCCTCCCGCCTCCTCCCTCCTCTTTTCCCATCGTATTCGTGACCCTCGTTTTCCTCACCTGTGCTTGTGGCCCTGTTGGCCCAAGGTTTTCTGGTGAACCAGTGGCGACATCTGGCCCACGGAAGCCAATTCTAGTCTTGGCCTGCAAGCACTTCAGCTTGCCACCACGGGGAGTTCAGTTGACGGCCCGTTGTCAGTTCAGTGTGTGTGAGTGTGTGTTAATGCCGCATCGCCGGAGCAGTCCCTCTGCCCAGCCGCCGACGCATATATATATATATATATATATATATATATATATATATATGTATATATATACATATATATACATACATACATACATACATACATACATACATACATACATACATACATACATACATACATACATATATACATACATATATATATATGTGTGAGTGTGCGTGTGCGTATGCATGTGCATGTGCATGTTCGTATGCTTGTGTGCGTGTGTGCGTATGCGTGTGTACGTGTGTACGTGTGGGCGTGTGTGCGTGTGTGCGTGTGTGCGTGTGCGTGTGCGTGTTTGTGAGAGAGAGGGGTACGCCGCGTCGAGGCTGCGCGCGATGCCGCGACCGCCAAAGAGTGTGTGTTGTTGGTGGGTGCGTGCGTGTGTGTGTGCGTTTGTGTGTGAGGTACGCCGCGTCAAGGCTGCGTGAGAGGCCGCGACCGCCAACGAGTGTGTGTGTGTGTGTATGTGTGTGGGTGTGCGTCTGTGTTTGCGTGTGCGCGTGTGTGTGTGCGTGTGTGCGTGTGTGTGTGTGTGTGTGTGTGTGTGCGTGCGTGCGTGTGTGTGTGTGTGTGTGTGTGCGTGTGTATGTGTTTGCGTGTGTGTGTGTGATTGTGTGTGCGTGTGTGTGTGTGTGGCCTTGTGTGTGTTTGTGTGTCCCCGGGCCCCCCTCCTGGGGTGTTCTTCTCCAGGTGCCGAGCAGTCGCCTGGAGGTCGCTCCGACCTCGGCACCACGGCAGCCCCGCTGCGCCGCCCTTCTCCGGCTCGCGCTGGACCTGCCACCCCCGTCGCCTGGCTCGGCCGCCTCCTGCCTCCCGCCCCATCCCGGCTGCCCCGCGGCTGCTGCTTTCCCGCAGCCCCGGCGCCTCCCCCGCCGCGGCCGGGCCTTGCTCTGAGCGGGCTCGGCTTCTCCTTCCGCCCGCGCCGGGCCTCACCCTCCGCCCCCACGCGCATTGCGGCCGAATTCGCATCTGTATGCCCTACATATGCTCTTCCCGCCAGCGCAGTCACTTTGCCTAGCCGCCGACGCAGAAAGAGTGTGTGTGTGTGTGCGCGTGTGTGTGCGTGTGTGTGTATGTGTCTGCCTGATTGTCTGTCTGCATGTCCCTTCTGCTTCGCGTAATGGGGGCGACGGCTGGCATGGCAGGCCGTGTGTTTGCCAACGGAGATGGGAAGGAACAGATGGTGTCCTAACACGTAGCATTGACGACCAGTCTACCGCCTGGACCACTTCCCGCCATCGCCCCAGCGAAAGCGCAGGAACCCATACGTCACCCACAGGAAGCAGGAGACGCCGAGGGAGCAACACGATATGCAACGTCGGCCTTTTGGGCACGTGCAGCGACAAGCGTTCATACCGCGAGACAGCGGTTCGCCAAAGCCGGGAAGCGGCAAACGCATACCAAGAAACGCATCATCGCCGAGCACGACCAGCTGGAGAAGTGGAGAGTGGCAGCGGAGGAGTTCATCTGCGCTAGGAACAAGCCCGACATGAACATGCATCCTACAAGTAAGGAAGCCTGTGGTTTCATCGTAAGGACACAGCGGCAGCAAGGCAGCATGGGTGAGCCTAGCAATGCGACGTGTATGAGTTTGCGTCAGTCGTTGGATGGCTGCTGGGTTTTCCAGCGTCACCTCTTGCGGCAAATTCATCGACGCAGGCGCAGCCGAGCAGAGATAGGATAAGTACAAAAACGTCCTCGCCGTGCCCGTCGAACAAAATAGTGCCGCGGCAAAGCAGGTGCAAGAAGTCTCGAGGAAGCCCTTGAAATTTACCTTGGGAAATGCCGACGAAGTTCAAACGACCCACCGACAACACCTGGACCAAGCCGTTGGTAAACAGCGGAGGGTTCCGGCGGAGGGTGGCACCAGAGGGCGAATGCGCATCAGCAGCAGCACTCGTGGCCCCCGCAGCGCCTGCTCCAGCACCTACTGCCGTCAAGCCAGACATCCGCGTCCGAGTCGCTCGAGGCAGAAAGCCTTCCAGGGAACCGCGGAAAAAACGGCGGCAGTTTCCACGCCGAGCCAGCTGCCCGCAACCTGAGAACGAGGACGGCTTTTGGAAAATGCGAGTGTGATATCACAACACTGCGCATTTTACGGAGCAGACTCCGCCTCCACACCACAGAGCAGCGCCATCACTTGGGATCATGCGGCGACGACTCGGCCTACCCTTGGCTGCAGACCTTCACGCCGACGGGGCCCGATCCCGACCCCAGCGGGCGGCGTGGGCGTCAATGGCGGGGAGGTGCCCCCGCCACCTTCGGGCCGCGGCCGAGCGGCCCGAGGGCGCGCGCGCGCTGGCTGCGAGCACATCGCGCCACCGCCGCAGAGCAGCGGACTTCCCGCGGGGGGCGCCGGTGGGACATTTCCAGAGCCCAGGCGCCTGCCAGCCGATCATCGGGCGCTGGCCATGCCGTGCGCGATGGCACGAGGGGTTCGTCGCCTCCTCGGGGCCCCTGGTCGGAGCGTCTTCCCCGGGCGCCCGTGCGGGGGGGAGGTCGGCGGCTCTGACCTCGGCCGCGCCGCGGCGGTGCGGCGGGCGCCTGCGCGAGGGCGGTCGCGGCATGGCGCGCGCTTCGATTTGGGTCCAGACAGGGGTTTGCTCGGGAGCGTGTCTAGACCAGGGGCAGCGATAGGGGGGGATCGGCACAGGAGGGGATGCGTCGACCCCCACTCGCACATTGATCGTCGATAGGGGCCGGAGGGCCCCAACCTGCCCAGGAGCCTGCGGATTCGCTATCGGGGTTTTGTCGCCGATCCATCGGCGATGTATCGGCGATTCCAGGTCGGTGTTCCCCCCCCTATGCCAGTTCCCCCGATCGTTGCCCTTCATCAGAGTGGAGGGGATGCAGGGCCAGCGTGCCTTGTGCGATTGGGGGAAGATTGAGACTTCCATTTTCGATGATCAAGATAAAGTGTCCGACATGATGTATGTATCACTTCTGACAACCATTGCAGATTCAGCGCAGTTGGTTTGCGCGAGGTGTCGCGTCGGTTTGTGCGAACACGATTGTGCTGATGCTGGCAATGCTCGAGGCAGAACAGCCTCCTATTCTGCGTGCCTGCCTGGCACGCTGCTCCGGGCGCGTCTTGGCCCACTCTTCTTCCATAGCCCGTCGTCCGTCGACCCCACCAGAAAAAACGGAGGATGTATGCGGGGGGCGAGGCGGCCGATGTTGGCGGATGAGGACGACGAGGGGCCTTGAAGGAGGGGAATCGCGAGAGGATATTGTGTGGCGCACGTGAAGAAGAATCCAGCTGAGGAGACGCCGCGACCGTCGTTCCCCTTGGCCGGCGTAGATTATCCATCCGCGTGGTGATGCCCAGACCAGACCGCGCCCACAGTGTCGACAAGATTGTGGACCGGGTCTGCGCTGTGTACCGCACCAGGGCTACCCGAGACACATCCCATAGCATTGCCACTCACCGACGCAGCCATGTATACGCGTGGCCTCCGTCTGTCGGGGCTCGATGCGTGGATCCACACAGCGTGGGACTTCGCCACCAAGCGGGGGCGCCAGCTATCCAAGCGCACTTCGTGGATACACATTCGCGCTTCTCCGCCTGCGCTGCGATCGTTTTCTCGCTACCGCGTCTGGCGAGCCCGCAGGTGTGTTTCGGTAGTATGCAATACTGTGCTCATACTGACAGAGATACGTCCTGATCCTCTACACCTATTTCGGCGACACTGGTTCACATTTTCACGCACACACGCACACACACACGCACGCCCGAACCGGCAGATACATCGCGATGGTAGGAACAGGTTTAGCAGAGTCAACAGAAGCCATGGACAAGAATCATCATGCTGATGACATCGACGCCATTGTCAGTGTAACGGTGAAGATCCTTTGCAAACCTGATGCTCTGGACAAGCAGCATTGTATCCTTGACATCACCGCCGCTGACAAAGTGTTGGCGAAGAACCGGGGTCGGACATCAGCAGGTGAAGTGTCAGACAACAGTTGGGTACGGAGTCAGCGATAGTTTCAGACTGTGTGTTCCGACCGGCCTTGGTTCTGAAGCAGGGGCCGGAAACCGGAGCTAGGAAAAGCACATTGTAGAGCTGAGTGAGCGGCATTCCTCCAATTGATAGGGCAGTGTAAAAGCAACGATTTCCTTCCTTGCGCTCTCCCGCCCACCTCCTATCAGCCACCTCGTCGGGAGATGGTCGGGCCCCTTCGAGATCAGACGTCGATTTGATCTTTCTGGTATAGTTGCGCTTGTACAGGTGCGCACAAATGTTCCCAGAGTTCTCGGGAGAGGAAGTGGAGGAGGAGGAGGAGGAGGAGGAGGAGGAGGAGGAGAAGGCCGAGCAAGCACGCAACAGGAACGGTCTTCCAAGATATTCCGAAATATTGGTTATCCGAAGCCAAGGGTGCCCTAAGTCTCGAAAGCCCTGTGGAGCAAGGAGCTAGCAGTGATCTATGCTTGGCAGGTCCTGCCCCAATCACGCCATCTGCGGGCCAGGATGTGGCACCTGCATGTTAGCCAGCGCGTTGCCTCCAGCGAGCGCCGGACTCGCACAAGTCATGGTAAATTGTTGCAGAGGGGGAAAGGGCGAGAGGTTCAAGGAGGCGATTTCTTTGCATCCGGCGGGGCAATCAGCATTTTCGCGGACCCTCCAGGGGCCGCCATGGTGGCAGGAGGTTGAGTGGCCTCCCGCAGCTTCCAGGGGGTCCGTGGTGCCTCCCAACGTGATGGGGCGGCGGCGCAGATCCCGCTGGTTCCGTGGAGGCCCTCTGGAGGCGGTGGCGCAGGTCCCCTCCGCCCTTTTCGAAGCTTCCAGGCGTCCCGATGCTCCCCAGCACGCGCAGCACCTGGAAGTGGCTCTGTATCTCCCACCGCCTGCAGCAAGGGAGTCAGGGGAAGGAGAAGCGATACCACCACCACCAGGGGGGGGCACACCTCCCGCGAGGAGGTCCACGATGCCTCCCCGAGCTGGGGATCAGAGATGTCTCGATTCAGACGGGGGGACCACACCACCAGGGGGACTCCCCCCCCTGGCTTTTCCCGCCGGTGGTCCCTTGTGGTGTCGTCGCTTTTTCTTGTTCCAAGCGCGGGGCCTCGCTAGAGCCTCGGGAGATGGGCTGGAGGAGGAGCAGGAGCAGGAGGAGCAGGAGGAGGAGGAGGAGTAGGAGGAGATGGGTACTGGCAGGGGGCCGAGGCGAAAGCGCGGCACGGCCCTCGGTTCCACGGCCTCCCTTCCCGCGTCGAGGACTACCGCTGGAGCGGGAAGTCGTTGGACGAGACGCCGGAAGACTTCGGCGAGCGACCGACGGCGCGGGGTGCGTGGGGGAGGACGAAGAGGATGAAAGGCATGGAGAGGGGAGGAGGAGGAGGAGGCGGAAGCGGAGGCGGAAGCGGAAGCGGAGGCGGAGGAGGAGGAGGAGGAGGAGGAGGAGAAGGAGGAGGAGGATAGGGGATCAGGAGTGGATGTAGAGAAGGAAGGAGGGAGGTGGAGGAGGGGCAGGATGAAGACGAGGATGAGGATGAGGATGAGGATGAGGATGAGGATGAAGAATGGAAGGAGGAGGAGGAGGAGGCGGAGGAGAAGGAGGCGGGGGAGGAGGGGGAAGGAGGATGAGGACCTTTCACCGTATTTGCGCGCATGCATGTGGAGCGCCGCTCGAGCTACGTTTCTCTCGCTCTCTGTGTTCAACCCGTTCAGCCTCACGGGCACGCGCGGCGAAGAGGTCAGCGCACAGCTGCGCCAAATCCAACTCGTCGGATGCCCTGGCACGAAGATTCGGAAACACCCGCACGACACACACCGCATGCAGCGCTATGAGCACCACACGGCCATCCATTTCGGGTACGGCAAGCACAGCATGCACGTGAACAACTCCGCAGGATGCACCATCCTCCTGAACAGCAGGTTCACAGAGAAGCACATCAAGGACATCACGGCACCACCGCCAGAGCTACACGGACGCGGAGGAGCCATCACCATCGAGCAGGGCGTCACCAAGCTGAATATTATCACGGCCTACTCACCACGGGCGCCATGGGATCGACGAGGATTATTTCAGCGGCGAGTCGCCATGACGAAGGTGGCACAGTGGGTGAAAACCGAGGTCCTGGCCACGCCGTCCCGCTTCACCCCCATCGCGATGATGGCCTTGAACGATCGCCTCGTCCTGGGCCGCGACGGCGACGAGACGGTCGGGCCCTGCCCCACTGGCAAGGAAGGTTGAGCGGGCAAGCTCTACCACCACAACTTCCTCAACACGCACATGGCGGTCGCCAGCATGTATCACGGCATGGGCCCCAACTACGACGGCCGCCACCCCTTCTGCCACCGACTACATCTACATCCCGATGGGCATGGTCCCCCGTAGCGCCGCACCTGGCACCACGCCGCCCACGCCCTCCAGATCCCCCGCTGATCATCAAGCTAGAGGCGCCGTCCGCGTGCCACACCGAGCACAAGGCCCACCAGTCCCTGGACCGCGACGCCATTGCTCTGGGCCCTGAGGAAGGACACGAACGCATCGAATTCTTGGAGAGCCTGGAGGCCCAGCTGACCACACACGGCGATCTGTTGGATACGTACACGGGGCGCGAGGACGGCACGTGCCACTGGGGCCTCACCACGACGACCCGAATGGTATCGAGAACCACGTGAAAAAAACAACTCCGGCTGCTACGACAACGAGCGCAATCCCGACAATCATTGCACGCCCGCCCAGGAAGACCACCACGCCCCAGAGGAGTTGCTGTACCAGCTCGACCAGACCATCTGCGACCTCAGCAAGCGCCTGCGCCGACACATGAAGGACACCACCACAAGCATCAGGGGATGCAGTGTTGACGACGTATGGCAGGCTTGGCGTGCACGACGACTGGCCGAATGCCACCGCGTCACCAAGACCATGCTTCGACACAAGCTCCGAGCACGCAAGCGCTACTACGACATCCTGCCAAGCTCCCGGCCCAGCATGGAGCAATGGCAACTATGTATACGATTGTTTGCTGTACCAGCTCATGTGGCACTACCCGCGCGCGACAACCTCGTGCCACCGCGACTTACGACACCACCACCACCACCAGCCACCATTCCGACGCCACCATCACCAGTAATGACAACGCCGACATCATCAGCACCACCAGCACCAACCACGACCACACCTGAGCCTACCACGACAAACCACCACCACTACAACATCCAGGCACAACGAATCTTCTCGATAGGAACCGCTCTTCGGGAATGGGGCGCGACTCCCTATATTGCGACGAGATTGAGTTCGACGCCGTGTTAGAGCAAGATGTCGAGGAGGATTTCGCAAACGACGCGCCGCCGACCGAGCTCCCCCCCGCCGGCGCCGACGTCACCCACGAGAGCACCGAGCCCTCCCAGCCCACCATCTCGAGAGGCTACTGCCCACCGCCCTGCCCCATTACCGAGCGAGCCAACGTGATTGCGGCTGAATCATGTGATCGAGGCGTCTGAAGAACTGGCTGCGGTCACAAAGCTCTTCGGGAAGGCCGAGAGGAGGAACTGCGCTACCTTGTATTCGGTCCCCGTTGAAATCCCGTTGGTGGCACTGCAACCTGAGATATTCCGACGCCCAGGACGACCACGAGGAGGATTGGGGGCATTGAGCGCACCTGATGGCGAAGAGAATCCACCGAAGCGCACGCTACAACTTCCACGGGAAGGCTGATTGGGACGATCACGATTCCTTGTTTATATCGCACATGCTCGACAACACAACCGCGTACCGACGCAGGCGAACATTTCGCAGAGCTTCCAGCTGGACAATGCCTGATGATCATCGGAACAGGCGGTCTGCGCCTCATCTACTGTGTCGACGTGTTTGGGAGATGTTTCTACCGACGCCTGCGTGAACGGGGCTCCCCTGCGCGTCCACCTGATGGCGCGTGCGGCGGTATCCCACGCCGAAGGCGCGAGCGCGGCATGCCCGTCACTCGCGCGGTCGCCTGCAGGCTCCGACGGGCGAAGGTCGCCTTCGCAGTTCGCTCCCGCGACGGCCGCAACGCCTTCGGCTGCGCCCGCCACGACGCCATCCACGAGCGCGCCATCCCCACCGTTCGCGACGGCGGCCGCCAACTCGCACTCCAGCGACGCGCGGAGCCCCAGAAGATCATCGACGCCGGCGACGGCACCTCGCTCATGCGGAGCCGCGAATGAGAACTCATGGGCTGCCCCAGCAAGCCAGACGCCTGCGTGAAGGTCTACAACCGCAACCTTGCGATGTGGAAGAATGACACGGCGTCGACCCGCGCCGGCATCGCGCTCCAGTCGCGCGCGCCCACCTGGGCCCCGAGGGCCCCGTCCAGGACCTCAGCCGCCAAGTCTTCGTCGACGACGCCCTGAAGCTCCACGTCGCACCTCGCGCGGGCCTACGCAAACAAGCCATCTACTCCAACGGCCAGCTCCACGACGCCGGCATCGACGAGGTCCAAGCGCTAGTCATCTCCATCGAGAGGGGCCTCGACCCCCCGCGCCAAGCACTGCGCCGAAGAGGTGTCAGCCTGAACGAGACCAAGGGGAGAGCGTGCACGGCATGCCATCAAAGACGCTGCACCGCGCCTTCTTCACCGACCCGCGGATGACTGCAGGCGCTGGACCTCCACGAAGCACGCGGGCGGCATGTTCGACGCCATTGACTCTTCCGACAGAGAACGCGAATCACGACTACGAGCTGCCAGCGCAGGGTGGCGCCAGTACCACCGCTTCTGGTTCAGGCGCGCACCGCGCCGACTCAAGCGCCTGGTATTCCAGGCGGTGGTCTACAAGGCCGCCATCAGCGCCGCCGAAACCTAGTACCTCTACGCCGCGGACTACAAGAAGCTCGACATCTGCCTAGGCCAGAAATTCCGTGCCACGCTAGAAGGGAAGGGCTGCCAGCGCAACCGCGACACATGCAAGTCCACCGCAGTTGCTGAAGCATGACGACGATGGGAGATATTTCCGGCGCTGCAACAACGGAGACGCACGCTTGATCGCCAGACATTTCGCCACGGACAAACAGGACCTTCTCACCTACGACGTTGCGGAACCCTTGGACTTGATCGACAGGAAGGGCAACGTCATTGAGATGTTCAAAGAACCCACGGTCGCCGAAGCCGTCTGCTGGACGGACGTAACCATCGCGAGGGCCACCTACCTTCGGCGCGCTGTCGCGCCGCCTGGTGCCTCCGCCGAGCTCCCGTCGGAGGTCGCCCCTTCCGACGAGGCCGAGCTGTTCGTCTGCTGCGATAAAACGTCCGAAGGAACCCCATGCTTGAGCACCTAGAAGACAGCGCGAGCACTCTACGCACACCCGTCGCACTTGGAGGGGAACACGGCATGTGCAGCATGTTGCCTGTGCTCACGCTCACGAGCGAGCGCATCATATGTAGTACTTTGTTTTTAGACGCGAGTGGGGGCGCAGCATCATCGCTGCGGCATGGAGAGCGCGAGCGCGCGAGCTAGACCAGACCTGGGCCCCATATCCGATCGCCTCCCCGAAGAGCCGCGCATGCACGATCTGCCAGGAGTGCTTCGGATTCACACCCGTGGTCATTTAACGAGGGAAGTACTGGGAGCCCACGCGCTGCCGCTACCGCGCCCGACAGAGATCCGCGGCATCTTCCGCAGCGGCAACGCCCCCGCTGGCAGCGACGGCGCCGCCGAGACCGAGCTGGCGCGCCCCGCGGAGATCTTCCCCCGCGCACGGAGGCGGTAGCTCCAACGACAGCAGGTCCACCCGGCGCGCCAGGTCGCGCAGCTAGGGGAGAGGCCGCGCAGCCAAGGACGCCAAGGAGGAGGGCATGGAGCACGACCATAAGCCCGACCCCAAGAAGGCCCCCATCGCCAGGGTTCGCCGCAGGCGAGGAGCCGCGCACAAGCCGAAGGTGGCCCCCAGGATCCCGAAAGAAACATGGAGGACCTTATTCTCATCATCCTGCGGGCGGCCTACCAGAACACCAAACAGATCCGCGAGCTCAGGAGGTGAATCGCCGCGACGGCGAACGCAAGCGACGCGGACCCTTTGGCCGAGGCGATCGAGAGCGAGAACGGCAACTGCGCCCGGCCATTCGCCAAGAAGGATCATCACACGAAAGAGGCTCGCCTGCTCCTGACGCTGCGATGGCTACGATGGAGACTTCGGTACAACAGGACATCGCCTCGAAGAGCAAGGGCGACGTCAGCAACGCGATCGAGACGATCAACGCGATGGACAAGTACCAGGTGCAGGACATATTCCCGATCTGCAAGCTCGAGAAGCGCGAGAGAGCGGCCGGGCGAATCTGCTTGTCAATTGCAGGGGCTACGAGATCAGGCAGTGCATCATGAGAGCGCTCCACAACGCACAGAAGACCGCATGCGTGGGTCCAGCGCCAGCAGGGTTCGCGGAGGCGCTCGCTCTGTGAATGAACGCACTGACGGACGACCTCTAGATAGGATGCCATACACCTCCCTGCGATGCCCTCATGCTTGCCCGCGGGGGGCCATGATGGTGCTAGCAGGAAGGTCTGCCAGGAAGTGTGCTCAGAGGGTTCCGGAAGACGCTTCCCGGAACATTATGAAACCGGTCCGTCCCGTCATGAGCGGCACCCGTGCGGCCGCTCATGCTATACATCACAGAGTACCGTGCCGCCTCCTCCCGCGGTGCATTCCTCACGATTGCCCGTAGTAGGCCGCGCAGTCACTAGTTGGGGGGCAAACATATTTTCCCTCAAGACAGCGTGACATGATGCGATTAGCAATGGGGAGAACTGCTACAGATGACGAGCCCATCACAGATAGCGAGTCCATGAGACGCCTGAAGGCCACCGACGCCGTCACAGGGAGGTGCTCTTTGGCCACCACTCCGCCCGCGCTCTCGCCCACGCCCTCGACTACGCCCGACGCCGCGCCCTCGCAGACGACACGGAAAACAGCGCAGATGGCACGCCGCCGTGACGATGAGGCTCACGCCGATCTTGGCTCCGGCATGCCTCCTTTTAAACTGGACGCGCTCGCGAGAGGCGCGAGGTGCCCGCCACCAACCCCCACTCGTCTTCCTCTTGCCCCCCCCTCCGCGAGTTCTACTTCTGCCTCCATGCCATGCACCCCTCCGCCTCCTCCTCCTCCTCCTCCTCCTCCTCCTCCTCATCATCCTCCTCTGGGTAGGGCCCCCCCCCTGCTCACGGCCCGCGGGAGAGGCCGTGGAAGAGGCAACGGGAAAAGCCGTGACCGCGGCCCGAGGCGAGCTGGGTCGTGGGCTCGCCGCCATTACGATTTCGCCGGGCCGCTCATAACCACGCGAGCGGCGCCCGAGAAGACCGCCCAAAATGGGCGAGCACCGTCTAGTTTCCTCCAGAGATCTCACACGTGTTTGGTTGTCGGAGCTTTGGACATTTTGGTGTTGCGAGTGAGTGAGTGATGCATTGCGTGCGTAATGCGTAAGATTGCGTGTGTACGCGCTTACGTACCTTCGACACACGTGTGATGCGCGCGTGTGTGTGTGTGTGTGTGTGCGTGTGCGTGTGCGTGTGCGTGTGCGTGTGCGTGTGCGTGTGCGTGTGCGTGTGCGTGTGCGTGTGCGTGTGCGTGTGTGTGTGTGTGCGTGTGTGTGTGTGTGTGTGTGTTTGTGCGTGTGTGCGCGTGTGTACGCGCTTTGTTGAACACGTGCGAATGCGTACCCGCACAAGTTTCGAGGCCACATGTGTTTTTCTCTGTGAGGGTATGGATGACCGATGTCATGCTGGCGGGGCAATCGTCATCAGGGTGCTAGACTGAAGTTGCGAAGAGCGCGCGTGGTTCTAACATCCCAAACACCGAGTGTTCGAAGGTTTGGTTTGGACACATGTTTGGCCGAGCATATGGGCGTGGCTTGGTGCCCGGCGGGGGCCGTTTAAGTTCTGTGTTGTGTTGTTTCGGGGCTGGTTTGGGAGCCAGATTGGCGTCCCTTTGATGCTTTCGCGGCCATTTCGGAGCGTTGTGGGGTTTGTGCGGGGGGGGTCTTAACGGGCAGTGTTGGGGCGGTGTTGGGCTGTTTTGGAGCAGTTCGGGGGTTAGTCTTGGAGGCCCGCTTGGAGTTTCGTGGCCATCTTAGGGACACCCTGGGTGGGTCGGGGCATATGTGAGGCCTCCTTGGCGGCCTCTGCAGCCCATCTTGAGAACACATTGAGCCGAAAAACGAATGCACAGAACAACACAACATGTGGGCTTGGACGAGTTGTGACTCGAGCTCCCCTGCGGAGGCATCGTATAAACTTTGTTGACCACTTGGGGTTATATTGGCGTCATTGCTTTGCTAACTGGGGCCATCCCAAAGACAGCGTTCGCCATCGGAGGCCTCCAACACGTCCACTCTGGACTATCTTGTCCCGTTTCGAAGGCATTGGGGTCTCAATGGGCTGGTTCGAAGGGGTCTCAGAGTCCAGAGCATGCGTTGAGTACTTTGCACTCCTCCTCGGTCTTTCCGGGAGGGGGACGGGGAGGGGAACTTTGCCTCCAGATCTCCGCTTCCGGCGTGGTATGCGTCTGTGCAGCAGTTCTCTCTTGCCCGGGGCTCTGCGTGGCTCTAAACTCTCCGTGTGTCGTGCGTCTTGTTCGCACCGTATGACTATAGTTCCCGCTGTGTGCTGGGAGTTCGATTTCAGCAGTGGTTGCACGGACCCTCGTGGTACGCATGCACATATTCACACACAATGCCATGGTCCATTCTCCCTGACCTCGTTTCTGTCCGTCGCCCTCCACGTCGCCCCTTGTTTCTCCTCTGATGTTGCAGTGTAGTGTGACGGCACTTCCGTTGCGGATATGAGTGGCCACGGTTCTCGGTTTGTCCGGCGATTTTCGGCGGCAAGTTTTCCATAACTGCTTTTCGCGGGGCGAGTTTGTTGAAAGATTTGCCCGATGCGTTCAGTTTCCTATGCTGCCCAAGACGCGCCGGGATCGGCGACACGAAGACGTCCAAGGGCGCCTCGGAGCCACCGTCATGGGGCCTCGGAGACTCGTTCCGACGCGCTCTTCGGGCAGTCCTGCCAGCAGTCTCGGGCCGCCTTGGAGAAGGCGAGGACGAGGACGAGGCGAGGACTAGGAAGAGGAGGAGGAGGACGAGGAGGACGAGGAGGACGAGGAGGACGAGGAGGAGGAGGACGAGGACGAGAACGAGGAGGCGAGCTGACGAGGACGAGGACGAGGAGGACGAGGACGAGGACGAAGAGAAGGAGGAGGAGGAGGACGAGGAGGAGAACGAGGAGGCGAGCTGACGATGAGGGGGGAGGACGGGTGAAGGATGGGGAGGAGCAGGAGGAGCAGGATGGGCACTTCGCGAAGGGGAGAGGCATGGGGGGAGGAGGAGAATACATTGCGCCCTAGTGGGCTCCCCTGCGTTCCACAGCCCTTCAGAGGATGAAAGGCATCGATACCGCTACCTTTGCCTCGTTTTCGCCTGTTTGGGCTACTGGGAGGCCCTCGTCGCCATGGCTGGATTCGCCTCGAAATCTTGGTCAGAACGCACCCCCGGAGAGGTCCAGGGAGTAGCGGTATCGATACTTTTGGTCTCCCAGTCTCCCACGTCGGAGTTTGCAGCATTTGTTGGTGCTCTCCTGACGCTGCGATCCCCGTCGATCCAAGTCTGCGCCTCGCGGAGGGGGGCGAGGAGGGCGGAGAGGAGGGTGGCGGAGGGAGGCGGAGGACCGGGGCGAGGGCGTCGGCCACGAGGGCGGGGAGGGCGGCGAGGAAGGCGGACGGGGAGGAGGGCGGGGGGAGGCGGAGGACCCGGGCGGGGGCGCCGACCACGGCGACGGGGAGGGCGGCGAGGAGGGCGCCAGGCCGGCGGCGACGCCCGCAGCCGCAGCGGGAGGAGGCGGGCGCGCGCTTTCGCGCCGTCGGTCGTGGGCGGCATCGGTCGCCGTCAGGGACGTCGCCGCCGCCGCCGCCGCCGCCGCCGCCGCCGCCGCCGCCGCCGCCTTGCGTCCTTGCCACCCTTGGCTCCCACAAACGCACTCCGAGCAGACGGCATCGAAGCGAGCGCGAGCCAGGTGAAACAACAGCCGGCCAGGCGGGCCTAAAGGAAGAGGAGGTGGCCGACGTCTTCTGACGTACTCGTCGGCTCCTGCGGGTTCCACAGCCCAGGTGTGCTCTCCAGCGGGGGTGCCCCAGTCGCCCCAGACGGCCGCCGGGGGCCCGAGCCAGGACCCGAACACCGATCGGCGGCGCGCCCAGGGGTGGGGGGAGAGGGGACAGGGGCCTGCTCAGAGGGCGGCGGGGCGTCTCGGAGGCCCTCGGGCCCTCGGGAGTCAGGGCGGGGTCGGAGGGGGCGGCGTCTTCCGAAGAGGCATAGGCATGACTTCGCGGGGCTCCGCGCGGATTTCTTGGATCGGCGCCGGGCCCCCCTGGCGGCGCCTCGCGCCAGGGAGGGGGGGGGTCCAGCGCCAATCCAGCAAGTCCGCGCGGACCTCCGAGAAGTCATGATCACTCAGTTTTTCTTCCTCGGCCGCGACACAATAACCACGCCCTGGTCCCCGAGCGTCAACGTCACGAACTTTTCCCAGCCTGCAGCCCGGCGGAGCGGAGCGACACGCTATCCGCTTGCTGGGCATAGCGTGACGCCGAGGCCGCCGACGCGACACGCTACGCAAAAGTTCCCGACCGTAGGCTTCGGGAAAGGAAGTAAGTTCATAATAGCATCAGCGCGACGGCCGGCACTGACAGCAGGTCCGACACTGCCCCAGGCAAAAAAAACACAGTTGATTCGGACGTCTGTGGCGGCTACGCCGCTGGCGTGATCGACCAGCCCACCGACTCACTCGCCGTGGAGGCTGGCAGGTCCGACATTGGCCCAATCGATTCAGGCGTTTGTGGCGGCTACGCCGCTGGCATGATCGACCAGCCTAGCCCGCAACCCGCCGTGGAGTCTGGCGCAGATCCGACACTGCCCCGGATACAAACACAATCGAGGCAGGCGTCTGTGACGGCTACGCCGCCGGCCTGATCGCCCAGCCCAGCGTCCAACCCGCCGTGGAGACTGGTGGGGACGGGCACTCAGATGCCCGCTGCGACGGCGCTGGCCAATCCCTCCGCTTGTGCGCTTTGGCGCCTCGTGATGCGGTGGCGGTCCCCCCTTGAGCAAGCTCGGACAAGGAGGATGCGATACCGATACAGCTGCTCGTCCTGGAGGCTCGCCCTCGTCGCCACGGCCTGGTTCTCCTTGGGACCTGGTCAGAGACCACCTTGGAAGCGCGCTAGCGGTATTTTGCTGCTCCCCCCAACTACTGCTCTGCACTCGCGACACCGCCTTCGGTGCCCGAGTTCGGCGTGCAGCGCTTGACGCTTGACCTGCTATGCGCATGCATGGGCTCGCGCGCCCTGCCAGAACAGGAACGGAGGAGCGACGCAACGATGAGAGGGGGAGAGGAGGCGACTGAGCCACCGCTCTTGTCATCAGAACGGCCCGCCGCAGAACCACAGGGAGCCAGTAGGACGAGTTGGTGTCATGTTTCCTATCCTGGAGTTGCGCTTATGTTCTCCCCATGTAGTGCGGCATCTAGCATCAGCACTAGCATCAGCAACATCGACACCACACCAGCAGCCTCGGCAACCACACAGAGCCAGCAGAAAGCCCTCAGTTCTCGCTCCCTCCTCCCAGGTTGTCGAGCCCAGCTTCTCCCCGCGCACTGCGGGCCGCAGGGCGTGGGGAGAATGAGAAGCTGATGCCGCAGTCTGCGGCATCCGCGTCGGCACCATCACCCGCACCAGCAGTATGAAAATGCACCCGCACGCACCATCAGCATGCACCAGCCTGCGCACCACCCGCACCAGCAGCATGCACCAGCAGCCTCGGCAGCGGCGCCAGCGGCAAAGGCAGACCCAGGCATCCGACGTCGCGATTTCTTTGGAGACACGGGCCCCCGACCTCCCGACCGCTTCCCCAGAACCGGTTTTCATCCTGAGTCGTTTTTGACGGTCCCGAGGCCCGGCGAGGAGGCCGAAAACGACAAATGAATGTTGTCTCGATCTTTTCGAGACGCCCGATGTTTGGGGAGGCGGCTTCAGCACCAAGGGACAGCGGCTTTGACGACGACGACGCTGTCGACGACGACGACGTCGACGACGTGGCGGTCACGACGAGGACCGCGACGACCACGACCACGGCCACGACAGCCACGACGGCGACGCCGACGGCGCGCGCGGCAGCCCGCGGCGGCCCGAGCTCGGGGGGGGGGTGCCTTGGAAGGGGGCGCCACGCGCTCCCTCGGGCGTTGCGTGAGGGGGGGGGGGCGGTCCCTGACGGGGGCGACGATCCCAGGCCCCCTCGCGCCACGAAGCCAGCCCGTAGCCCGACGGGGGGCTTTGGGCTGCAGAAGTCCACGAGCCGATGGACGGCTTCGTCGAATTCTCGTCGGTCTACCAGGGTTCTACGCTTTTTCCATGGGCTCGACAAGAAAATCAGTTCTGCGGCAAATCGATTCTGCAGTCGATCCCTCAAGTACCCGAGGCCTCTGGGGGCCCTCACCGGGCGTCGGGACCGTGAAAAAACGATTCAGGATCGAGACCTCTTGGGGGTCGACGTCATGAAAAGATCACGACGTCGAGGGTCTGGGAAATGCGCACCTCCATGGTCCCCAGGGGTTCCAGAGGGGCCCCGCTAGGCCCAGGCCTGGCATGCCAGCTGCACGCTCCCAGACCTCCGATATTTTGCTCCGCTCAACGCGGGATGCCCAGAGCTCTGGGACACTTGCCAGGGACGGGGCCTTCGTCCCCTATCGTGTCTCGACGGGGCCCGCCGCGGGCCCCCCGAACCCCAGGAGCCGAAAACGAATAGAAACCGTTTCGCCTCGATGCTCTCCATACGCTCGAGGTCTGGGCTTCTTCGCCCCCACGCGTGGGCCCCAAGAGGCCGAACACGCACAGAAACCTCCGTCTCGATGCTCTCCATACGCTCGAGGTCCGGGCTGCTGCGCCCCCGCGCGTGGGCCCCAAGGGGCCGCACACGCACAGAAACCTCCGTCTCGATGCTCTCCATACGCTCGAGGTCTGGGCTGCTGCGCCCCCGCGTGTGGGCCCCCAAGGGGCCGAACACGCACAGAAAAACCTCCGCCTCGATGCTCTCCATGCGCTCGAGGTCTGGGCTCCTTCGCCCCCGCGCCTGTCGGCTCCCCCCCCCCCCAGGAAGCAACGCCCAAGACGCCCGCGTCGCCGCGGGCGCCCCCGGGGCAGACAGGCGGGGGCGCCGGCCCGGGGCACGCTGCGGGCCTGGGCTGATGGACGTGTCGGGCGCCCAGAGTGCTGGGCAAGGTCGCTGGCAGGGCGTCGCCAAATGGGGGGGCGATCAACGGGGGGGGGGGGGAGAAGGTACACTTTTCGGGCCCCGAAGGCCCCCTCAAAGGCCCATTTGGGGCCCCCCAGAGGGCCCACTTTTCTGCAGCCCTCGCTGCCCCCCCCTCAAATGTATCGCATCCCCCATTACGCGCCCCCCAAGCCGATCGCGCGGGCGGCGAACAGGAAACAGAGCCAGAACATGCACCAAGGGCTTCGTATCTGCCGCATTTTGGTCGCTTCTTCCGATTCAGAATTATGGCGGGCCTGGGCCGATGGACGTGTCGAACACCCGGAGCGTCGTACCGACGCGGCAGCGACCCCGGCGCGGGCGTTCAAGGTTGAACGCCGCCAGTGGTCCAGAATCGGCAACTGCGGGATAATCTTACGATCGAAAAGCTGCCGATCGTTCAAGGTTGAGCGATCCACGCGGTGTCAGAGACCAGCGCCCAGGTCGTTACGACACGAACCTACCGTATTCGCCTGGGAATTTTGCCGAAGACATGGACCGTCGGCTCTATTGGATACATGTATTGTTCCCCCTGGGCGATCCTCCCCCATCGTCGCCCCCGAGATCAGGGATGTGGACCGAACGATGCGAACATGTGGGGCGGAAATTTCCGGATTGGGAAGATAGGGTGGATATCCAGCTGCCTTTGGCAATTCCACCACCGTGCCAGCGCAGCACTCTGGGTAGCAGCGACTCGAGAAGGCAAGAGGGCCTGCTTTGGCCTTTTGGGGCAGAAGGCTCGAATTCTGGGTTCGTGTTCCCTCCCTTGGGGCCGTCTTGGGGCACTCTTGGGCAGTCGTGGGCCTCTCTTGGGCCGTCTTGGCGCCCTCTTGGGCCGTCTTGGACCTCTCTTGGGGGCCTCTTGAGCCATCTCGGGGGAGTCCGAGGGGCCTCTTGGGCCGCCCTGGAGCGTCGGAAACTCGAAACAGCGACAACCGAAAACACGTTGAAACAGCTAAGAGCACATCAATGGTTTTGCCTTCTGGGTCTCTTTGGGCCTTCTTGGGGCCTCCTGAGCACTCTTGGGGCGGAAGGCTCGAATTGTCAGTTCGTGTTCGCCCTCTTGCGCCATTCTAGGGGCCCTCGTAAGCATTATTGGGCGCCTCTTGGGTCGTCTTGGAGCCTTCTTGGGCTGCCTTCGGGCCCTTCGGGGGGCCTCGTGGAAGGTCGTTGGGCAGTACTGGTGGCATCTTGGTTCGTTTTGGACGTCGGAGGCTCGAAAAGCTGAGAGCCCGAAACACATTGAAAAACCAAACGAACATACATGATTTTGGCTTCTCGAGATCCTCCAGGGAAGGCTCTTGGGGCCCTCTTGGGACGCCTCGACGGCCTCGTTGGCTGTCTTGGAGCCATCGTGGGCCGTCCTGAGGCCAACGTGGACCGTCATGGAGCGATATTGGGCCGTCTTGGAGGCGTCTGGGCCTCGGGAGCGCGAATCTGCCGTATTTTGTAAAAGGTTGTGGCTGGGAAAAGGGGGGATGCACGCAGGTGGGTGCTTCGAAAGGGGGGTAAGTGGCCCATAGGAAATCTTGGAAAAAGGACCAGACAGACCTTGGCGTTCTTCCACGCCTCAACGTGCACCAGGCACGGCGGCGGATTTCCGCAAACGGATGCGGAAACAGCCACCGCAGGAGACGGCGGAAATCGGCATCAAAGGAGTAAGGATCATGAAAACGTAAGGCGGAAGTTGTCGTCCTACTTACGACGTCGCCCACAGCACGGCGGATCTGGAGTCAGGGGATCGCCAAGCGCGGCGAACAGGGAACAGATCTGGGATGTGCACCCAGACATGATTGCCGCGTATCAGAAAAAAAAGGCCGAGTTGTTTTCGATTCCATGCCCGTTTCGGCTCTTGGCTCGCCTCGGTTTCGGCTCGCTTCGGCCAGACGAATCTGGCTGGGACGAAACGGGCCGAAACCGAAACGGGCAAGGCCGAAACGGGCCGAAACCCAAACAAGTTAATGAAGCCGAATCGGGCTGGAACCGAAGCCAGCCGAAGCCGAAAGCATCATCTTCTCCCGACATGCTCGCGTCGTGGCAAACATCGCGACAGGAGGTTTGTGGGGCTGCTTCCGGGCTCTGGGGGCCTTTTTGTTTGAGCTGTCTAAGAAAACGCTTGGAATGAAGTCCATGCTCAAAGCTTAGCATGATCTTGAATACTAAGAAGGGGTGTGGGGGAGTCGGCGCAAGCATCATCTACCCGAGGGCCGCGGGCATCTCTTGGGTCGTCGACAGGGGGTCCGCCCGCTGGGCTGGGCCATCCGGCGGGGCGCCCCGGCTTCCGACGGGCGGTGCGGTAGCACCAGTCATGGGATCTTGACCCCAGGATCGGCCCGGCCACGATACTCCTCTCCTCCTTTCGGGCCGGACGAAAGAGGGGGGGTGGGAAAGGGGGTGTTACGAAATCTGCTGCGTGCAGCTGGTTTCGGCCCCACCGAGGGGCCCGTTCCTCGATACAGAGCCGCCTCCGGCGCCGAAAGGCGCAGAGAAAATCAGCTACGTGAGCTGATTTTCAACCCCCCCCTTTGCTATCCCCCCCTTTCGACCGACCCAGGTGTGCATTGACCCGTGTCAGTAGATCCCCGACTCCTCCTCCTCCTCCTCTTCCTCCTCCTCCTCCTCCTCCTTCTCCTCCTCCTCCTCCCCTCCTCCTCATCCTTTTCCTCCTCCTCCTCCTGCTCCTCCTCCTCCTCCTCCTCCTCCTCCTCCTCCTCCTCTTCATCCTCCTCGATTCCCCGTTTTCGTCCGGCGGGGCCCGAAACTCATGCGGAGTTTGGCATGGGCGAGTTTGCGCAGTCCAGGCTGCAAAGACAGATCAGGAGAAATGTGTGTTTGAGTTGTTGTGGCAATCGGGACACTCCGCCTGCGACGGACGCATCATCATCATGCTCATGATCAGCATCAGCAGCATCATCATCATCATCATCATCATCATCATCATCAGCATCAGCATCAGCATCATCATCATCAGCATCAGCATCAGCATCATCATCATCACCACCATCATCATCATCATCATCATCACCATCAGCATCACCATCACCATCACCATCGTCATCATCAGCATCATCAGCATCATCAGCATCATCAGCACCAGCATCATCATTATCAGCAGCAGCATCAGCATCGTCAGCATCCTCAGCATCCTCAGCATCAGCATCCTCATCCGCATCATCAGCATCATCATCATCGTCGTCGTCGTCGTAGTCGTCGTCGTCATCATCATACTCATCAGCAGCATCATCGTGATACTCATCAGCATTGTCATCATTATCAGTATCATGTGCAGCAGCATTGTCATCATCAGCAGCATCATCATCAGCATCGGCATCGGCATCGTCATCATCATCATCATCATCATCATCATCATCATCATCATCATTATCACCATCACCATCACCATCACCATCACCATCACCATCACCATCACCATCGTCGTCATCATCATCAACATCATCATCATCATCATCATCATCATCATCATCATCATCATCATCTACGTCATCAGTATCATCAGCATCCTCAGCATCATCATCATCATCAACAATATCATTATCAGCAGCAGCAGCTTGACCATCGACATCCGCATCATCATCATCATGATCATCATCACAATCATCTTATCACCACCACCATCATCATCATCATCAACATCATCATCATCATGTTCATCATCATCCTCATCATCATCATCCTCATCATCATCATCATCATCATCATCATCATCTTCATCATCATCATCTTCATCGGCAGCGGCAGCATCATCATCATCTTCATGATCCATGCGGTTGTTGTTCGTAGTCATTTTGGCTCAAACCGCTTCCCTGATCGAGGCGCGGAGGGAGGGCGTCCGCTCCTCTGACCAGGCGACCATGCCAGACTTCAACAAGCCCGTCACGCTTCAGCTCGGGCCAGAGCCTGCAGCGGAGAGCGCACAGAAGTCGACCGTCGAGATGGAGCAGTTCTTCAAGCAGTACTTCGGAACCCCGCCGACGGCCCCCCACAGCGCCAAGTTCAAGCCCGACCCGAAGGCCTTCTACGAGCACACGCTGCTGGTGAAGTTCCCGGACCCGAAGTCCAAGAAGAAGATCAGGACCAAGACCAAGATGAGGGGAGATTAGAATCTGAGCGGGCGGCGTGTCGACTGCGGGGCATGTTCATACATCTGAGACCGGCAGGCGAAGCATCGTATCACACTGAGGAGGAGTTGCTTAGCTCCGCCTCGTCATCTTCCCAATGGCTGGAGCGGAGAGACCGCGCGCCGGCAGGATAAGAGCGCTACTGGCATGCGCGAGCAGGCATTTCTCCTCTTCCTCCCTGTCGGCATCATACCTCCTACGTTCGTGTGCGGCAGGCCGGATCGACTTTGGCAACGTCTTCGCCCGACCACCAAGGGTCCCTTCGAAGGGCCGCCTCACGGCCGTGTTCATGACTGGCCCAGGGTCGGCCGAGGTGTCTCTGCATGCTCGCGATGGCCGAGGGGTCTGCTCGTCCGTCTCTCGGCTGGCTGGCGGTGTCGTACCCTCCGCCCTCTCCCGCAGGTCTCTTTCGCCCGCGCCCGCTCCCGAAGCTGCCGCCGCTCCTCTCTCCTGCTGCCTTCCTGGCCTCGCCATTTCTCCTGCAGTCTCTCAAGCAGTGGCGAGGCGTCCTGGCTCACCTATAGCCCCACCAAAGGATGTTCTAAGCACCTTTCGTGGTTTGCACGAATTGTTCTTAGAGCATTTCTGGCTGGGACTGTCTTGATTCAGCACATCGGTTTTATATTCTAAGAACATTGTTTTTGTTTTTCGAATATTTTTGGGTTCGAAGAACATTTCGTGGTAGGACTATAGGAATGCCGGGGCGGTCGGTCCCTGCTCAAGTCTCGCCCTCCCCTCCCGTCCCCCCTCCTGACCTTCGCCCTCCCTTCCCAGCCTGCCCTCTCCCTTTCCCATGGGCCCGGGGCGCATTGGTCGCCGCACGTCAGAGCCCGAGCAGGGCGCTGGGCCCGCGACAGTGGGGCCGACAGCCCAGAGGAGGAGAAGGAGGAGGAGGAGGAGGAAGAGGAGGAGCAGGGACGATGCAGGGTGATGAAGGGAGGCAACAGGGGGAAGAGGCAGGAGGGAGGAGGCAGGAAGGAGGCGGGCGGGCGCCCTTCAAGCTGCACGCTGCGACCGTCAGATCGGAGCTGGGGTTCCTGAAAGCACGTGCTGCCAATGAAGCGAAGACGTTTTGACAGGGGCCTCCGTTGCCGCAAAGACTTGTAAACTTGGCGGTGGAGTTGTCACTGTCTAAGTAAGTTATGAGCAAATCGAGCGGCGCGGAGCCGACCCGCACCGATGGCTCCATTCGTCCGATGGGGGGGTCAGCGGCCGCTGGCGCATCATAAGCTCATGACCCCAGCGGATCGGCGAACTTCCTGGTTGTGGCCTGTGACCGCTGCAGGAGCACATGATCGTAATCCGTGGTCGGCGCTCTGACCGATGTTGTGTCTCCTCATCCTCGGCGTCGTTCTTCCCCTCCCCCCAGGGTGCGTACCGAGGTTCTTACTGATATTCGTCGTGGCAATCATCGGTATCGCCGTCGCTGTGAATATCCACGTTCTGTTCTACTACGAAGAAGAGTTGGACCGAAGAGCCACAAAAAACATTATCCTAGTCGCGCTGCCGCGTACGTCCGCCCTCATATCCGTTACTGCGATGTGGGTACAGCTGGAGATGCCCGCTCCCCTTTGTATTCCCCATGGGGCCAGCACGTTCGTGACTTGGAGCCACAACATCGACGCATGCTGGGCGTGACAAGGGGCGGGGCTCGACTACTGTTTCGCATGGACAAGTTTACCACTTAAGCGAGGGACCCGACTAACTCCAGCCGCGGCACCGCGCGGTGGCAGATTCTCAAAGCCATCATCGTCACCAGCCTCACGTTGACATGGGTTGTGACCCTCTTGTTGCCAGTCGACGTGCGGAACTCGCGGCCCGTGCCTGGACCGTTGGACATGCAGGCGTTGTGGAAGGCTGCGTTCATAACCTTGGCCGTGTTCTTGGCCATCATCGTGCCGAGCGCCATGTTGTACAGCGAAGTCGAGGGTGACGACCTCGTAAAGAACAAGCGAAGGTACGTTGCTTGTTACTTGTTGGCCGTCTTGTTTGTCTGCGGTGCCCTTGTCGCCATAACCTATCCATTTCTCGCCAGTGCGGATATTCCGGTGACGCAGTATGCATGTGGCTCCTGGCAGGATATCGATGCTGTCGACGGCGTCATCTGCGACAGCGCCGTATCCTCTTCCATGAGACTCAGCGTCGGAATTGACGTGTACATCATCGCAGTGCTCTGCTTCATAGGCTGGTTCTTCTTCGTGGTTTTCGGCGGCATCGGTCTGAGCGCGGTCCCCATCGACTTGATCCTCGAGTTCATCGACCGGCCGACCGCTATAGACGAGAAGTCGTACTTGGAACGCAGGACGTCGGGACCAAGATAGTGACGAGCCTGAGGAACGGAAACGAGGATGAGGAGGGAAGGATGAGCTGGAGGCGGTCAACGACGACGAGAAGGGTCAGGAAGAGCAACGCCAGAGTGGGGGAGGATGAGGAGGGAAAGTGGAGGAGGATGAGACGGAGGAGGGGAGGGTGATGATGACGATGATGATGTTGAGGAGGAGGAGGGAAGGAGGAGGAGAAGGAGCCCCAGTACAATTTGACAATAGCATCCCAAGCGACACCTGCACCTCTGCCATCCCCGCCGTCATCCCCATCACAGCCATCATGTGACGATCTCTGTTGCAAACTTGTCCACCAATTCAGCGATTACTGCGCCAGTTATAGTTTATATAGTAGCCCGACGACGCAGCAACACATCGAAAGCAGAACCTTCCCATGTAGAACATCCGCCTGTCTGTTTCAGACATGGGGGGTGTTTCTGCGTTCGATTTCCGTGTGGCATGTCGCCAAGAAATTTTGCAATCGCATGGGGAGGTGTTATGTTCGACCAGTGTCGTCGGCACGAAAGCTCACCGCATTACGATGGGACAAGGAAAGCCCGATGCCATTTTGAAGCATATCGTGCATGACGTTGTGCGTGCTACAGGTGACAATATTACCTGTTCCATACGTAAATCTATGTATATGTATACGCGCATGTGATCGCGTATTTAGCAGCCTGTGGCAAATTCCGCCACCGCACTTGTGCAGCAGCGCGACGGGAAGGATGCTGAGTGTAGGAGTATCGCAATTCCGACCGACGATCTGAATTTGGACTGGTCGTGAGTTCGACCTCGTCTTCGTCCGAGTGATAGGGACGAGGTCGAGGTCACGCCCCGTTGCAGCTCAGCGAGCAGTCCACATTGAGACGGGTCGTAAACTCTAATATTCTTCCGCGCGATAGGACGACTAGCAGGCACCTAACCAACAACACACATTACTGTCCATCTTGTCTATCTATACATATATATAGATATACATGTACACATATATATATATAAACCACTCTCTGTCGCTTTGGTGTCCATTACAAACCATGTCTGCATGGCAGAAGGGGGGGCCGGGATAGGGCATGCCGCTTGTTGGCAAATACTTTGCGGCAATGTGTGGCCGCTGCGATCGCGGCGGCGACCTCCAAAGCCGACCCGGGGGTTTGGTTCGGGGTCGGAAAACACGCGACGACGTGCTGTTGCTTGTTTCACGGAACGCAGCCACATTCACGCCGCAGCTTGCACAGCGAAAAGATTGGCACTGCCACTACACATTGTCCCCCCCACACACACCGCACGACAACGCTAAGCGAGCCCGACGCCCGCGCTTCCTCTCTAAGCATGCCGTCGAAGATGCGTACAACACGATGGAGGAGCGAAACGAAAGGGAACGCGGGCCGGGGCAATCTCTGCGCCCGGCTACGCACAGAATGCGTGGGTCGGCGTCCCCGCGCCCGCGCTGGGCCGAGAGGCAACCGGCGCCGCCAGGCAGGGCCCGACTGGACTTTTCCAAGGGCCCAACATGGCAGGGACGCCGCACCCGCGACACAGCGCCCCAGACAACAACAGGGTGGCCTTGGGTGGGTCACAGAGCGGGCCGCACCGCACAGACCGCCATGCGGGAACGCCAACCCAGGAGCGGCAGCGGCCACAGGAGCCCACAGAGTGGCGACGAGGAGCGGCAGTGGCGGACACGCGAGGAGTTGCAGCCCCTGCCCCCGCCGAAACCTAGGCGACGACTGCAAATGACAAGTGCGAGCTACCCAAGGGCAAAGTCTTGAACGCTGCTACAAAGTCATCCTTGCGAAGCGTGGCTCCGTCACCGCTTGACGAGATAATCTCGCGAAACATCGCCACGAAACGATCCAGTGTGTCATGCTGGATACTTTCTCCAGCGGACGCTGCGGCATTTGTACGAGATGCCGAAAAGTCGTCAATGCAGCGCACCCGGCGCGAATTTCCTTTCCAGCCCTCGTCGGCCGGGAATCCAGCAGCGAGGACGCAATTGCTTGGCAAGTTGCGCCGCGTCGCATGGCCGTCGCGAACCTCTTTCTCGCACTTGGTCTCGAAAGTCGGTCGGGCAAATCCTCCAGATCCGTATGGCGCCGAACTCGGCGGAGCGTGGCTTCGTTCAACGAGACGGCTTGCGCGCGCAAGCTCGCGGCAGTTTCTGGGCAGTGCGAAAACGGCAGATCGGGCAGGGCACCGCTGCGAGGGATCTCGCCAAGAAGCGGGAACCCATGTCGCAGATCTGCTACGAGAGACGCGCGCTGGGCCAACCCATGGCCTCGATCATCTCGCCAAGCACAAGCACATTTTTCTTCGGACCTAGGACACCCTGGACGTGCGAGGGCAGAGACCCAGATTTGCACGCCCACAGCGGGTCCATCACACGCTTGCGCTCACGCCAATGCGCGAGACTGTCTGCCCGAGCCCGGGCCAGAGTTGGCCCATCCAGAAGAAGGGTGCGAGCGAGCGGTGCGGCGACAGCCCCGGGCACCACGGGGAAACCATTGCACGAGGGCAAACCGAGAGCCCAATCTAAATGACCAAGCGGAGTTAAATCTGAAACCGCCGGGTCTTGCAGAAAGCTATCGCAATCGTGCTCAAATTGCAAGTCTGGGCGCGCCCGCCAACGGGCACGTTGTCGGCGTGCCGCCAGCGCCCGAGGGCAGGGCTTCGCGCCCAGATTGCATATCTGGGAGCGCATGCGGTCAGGGCGCAGCGCCGCGCCCAGATTGCAATCCTGAGCGCGCCACGCCGGAGGGCACGAAATCGTGCTTGGATTGCAATTCCAGTCGCGTCGGCGCCCTAGGGCACGGCATCGTGCTCAGATTTCAAATCTGGGCGCGCCATCGCCCCAGAACGCAGAACGGAGCTCTGAGCGCGCCGCGCGGGGGAGCAGGGACTCGCGTTCAGATTGCAATTCTGGGCGCGCCGACGCCCGAGAGCACAGAATCGTACTCAGATTGCACATCTGGGCGCGCTTGCGCCCCAGAGCGCAGGAGCGAGCCCAGAATGTGATTCTGAGCGCGCTGCGCCCAGGAGCACGGAATCGCGCTTGGATTGCAATTCTGGGCGCGTTGGCGCCTTACTAAGGCGCCGACGCGCCCCTAATACGGCACAGAATCGTGCTCAGATTTCGAATCTGGGCGCGCCTGCGCCCCTTTGAGCACGCTGCGCTGGAGAGCGCGGAACCGGGCTCAGATTGCAGTTCCGGGCGCGCCGACGCCGTGGAGCACGGGATCGTGCTCAGATTGCAAGACTTGGCGCGCCAGCGCTCCAGGGCGCAGAACCGAGCCCTGAATGCAATTCGGAGCGCGCTGCGCCAGAGGGCACGGGAGTGCGCGCCGAGTGCAATTCGGAGCGCGCCGACGCCCGAAAGCACAACATCGTGTTCAGATTGCAGATTCAGGCGCGCCTGCGCCCCAGACCGCACAACCGAGCTCGGAATGCAACTTTGGGCGCGCTGCGCCCAGGAGCGCGGAATCGCGCTCGGATCGGAGCGCCGACGCCGTAGAGCATGGAAATGTACGCTCCTAGCCAGTAGGGGTGGATAACGCTGGTCGCCATGTCTGTGGCCTCCTGCTTGGTTTCGCGCGGGCGTTGCGAGGAGTGCGAAGCAAGGAGAAGGAGGAGGAAAAGGCCTCTTAGGGGCTCTCGTGGGGCCTCCTGGGGGCCTCCTGGGGGCCTCTTGGGAGCCTCTTTGGGGCATCTTGTGGCCTCTTGTGGGCTCTTGCGGCGTCCTGGGCGGTCTTGCGCGGCCCTTGGCCTGTCCGACGCACTCGGAGGCCGTCGCGGGGGGCTCTCTGGACCGTTCTGGTGTATTCTTGGAGCACTCGAAGGCCATCGTGGAGCCCTCGTAGAAGTCTCTTGGGCCATCTTGGCGCCATGTCGGGCCGAATTGGAGCCCCTCTCTTACGCCGTCTTGGGCGGCGGGTAACCGAAACGCGCGAGACCGTCGAAATTCTTCAATCACCAAAAGGGAATCAATGTTGGGTGCCTCCTACGGCTCTCCTGGAGAGCCTCCTGGTGCCCTCTTGAGCAATTAGGGTCACCTTGGGCCCACGAAAGGCCATCTTGGGAGTCTCTTGGCCATATGGGGAAATCGTGGGCCATCTTGGTATCGTCCTGGCTGTCTCGGAAGCCGTTGTTGTTTGAATCTTAGCCGTTCGGAGGCCAAAAGAAGCGCTGGAGGGCAAATTCTGGGGGTGTTGCTTTCGAGGCCCAGGAAGCATTAGAAGCCTCCCTGGCAACAAACCGTGCAGGCACAGTGTCGAGTCATAGTACGTGTCATCCGGGACCAGCAAGCGGTCTCCTGTGCGCCCAATGCCTGTTGATAGCCCATGTCGCCGTTTAGTGTTGCCCTGGAGGGCACTCCCGCGCCGCGGGTTTTGTTTCACATCCCCCTGTTTTCCCAGCGTTGCCACGTTTTGTTATAGTAGTCCCCGGTGGTGTTCTTTACCCAAATCTAGCTCTAAGCCTATGTTGTTCTTGTTGTATTGAGGTGTTGCCGCGTTGATCCTCCTCCCTCCCACCCCCATCACCGCTTCATTCCCTCACGACTCCCGACTCGTGGTTGGCGGATGATCGGCCCTTGCGGCACAGTGGATAGCAAGTGGGCACGACAAGGAACGGTTGTGGAAGAGCACGTTGAGCCCCGCAGCCTCGGACCCCGAAGAGGGTCGAAGTTGTTCACGTCCGCCGCATGCTGGTCGCAGGGCTTCACTTCCCGCTGATTGACTTATGCACCATGGTAATGGTCCGGTATCGATGATTCCTTCTTGGTTCGAGTCAAATCGTCGAGTTCCGCGGCATGTTGCATCCGGTTCTTCACTTCCGCCGCATGTTGTCTCCAGGACTCCAGTGGTCTAGAGTCGGGGCGCTGAAGAAGGAACCCTTTTCGTTGGGGAGGGGCTCCGTGTTCCTTAATTGTTCCCCATCCTGCCTTAGGTTTTCCTTCGGTCTTCGATGGGAAATCGCAGTTGAACTTATGGAGAAAAGGCGCCTCGTTCATTACTTAGGGTTCCTTAAGGTCAACGCCCCGACTGTAGTTCTTGTTGTTGTTGGTCCACGAGGGCGCCCAGACCGCCCCGGAGGTTCCTGGAGAGCCCCGGAGGCACCCGGGACTGCGAGACATCGGGGGCGGCAGAGAGGGGGGTGGTGATCCGGAGGGGGTGGATATCATAGCGCTTGGCATCGCTCGGACGTGTGCATTTTTCCTTCGGCGAGGACCATCGAGGAGCATCCTTGATCATTTGGAGAAAAAACAAAAAACCACGCACGAAATCAACAAAAGCACAGGGAATGGACGTCCGAGCGATGGCGAGGGCGGGGGCCATGTCATCTCCGCAGATTTCACGGCGCCTCTTCTTACCTCAGTACGTCCCGGGCCCCCTCCTGGGCCGCGCACATGCCGCTGGCCATGGTTTGCGCCACCCCCCTCTTGGACGCCCCCCTTTTAGACGCCCCCGAAGACAAGGCCTCCAATAGGCCAGCACGGCAATCCAAGAAGTCTCAAAGAGACCCCCACCCCGAGTAAGGATGGATAGAGCGAGCGAGTGAAGCTTCTGAGAGGCATCACTTGATCAACCTCCCCCAAAGAAAAACACAACATGTGCTTTTAAGATGACCGCCGGGAAGCCCAAGATCAAGACGCACCGTGCACAGTGCCTCTTCCAAGCAGACCTTTTGGGGGCCATCCTGGAGCCTGCCCGAAAGCCTTTTCGGGCCCTCTTTGAGGCCTCCTCAGGGCCCCGTGTTCGATCCCAGAAGACCCCCAAATTAAATTACACAGTGAAACTTGGCTTCAAGCCCTCTGGGGACACTCTTGGAAGCAGCCAGAGAAACTAATATTTTGAGGATTGTTCGTTCGGGAGTTGGTCGATGCCTGTTAGGTGACCCTAGAGAGCCCCAAGTCGATTGCCCCGTGGGGGCAAAGGGCCACCCAAATTAACATGCAACTTGACTCAGTGGCCCTCCAGAAGTCTCCAGGGGTCTGGGCGGCGACCGCTTAGGTAAGCACCGTGGACCGTGCTCCTCTTGACCCTGCCTCCTCATCGTCGCCATCATGTACGTTTCCTCCTCCTCCTCCTCGTCCTCCTCCTCCTCCTCCTCCTCCTCGTCGGCACCGTCCCCTCCTCCCTCTCTCACCACCCCTTCCTTCACTCGCCCACTCCCCATTTTCCTCGACCTCCCTCTCCTACCCCCATCCCCCCCGGTTCCCCTCCACCTCTCCTTCCCTTGCGGGGCCGGGGCAATGAGCGAGGCGCGCCGTCGCGATCGCGCGGCGGACCCGTGAGGGGGAGGGCAACGGGGTCTAGGGAAGGTGGACGTTTACGAGCGCGGCCGCAGTCGCCCTCTTGGCTGACCCCAAGCTTATTGGGTCAAGTAGGGCACGCTTTCTTTCGGTGTGGGGAACGGTGGGCCGATCTGCTCCTCCACCCCGAGGAAGCCCAGACCCACTGCAAGTGTGTCTCTCCCCGCGCCGCTCCGACAGCGCACTTCCCTCTACAGGCCATCCTCAGAGGAAGCGCAACGACGAGCTGAGGATCTAGGAGGATCGAAAGTAGCGCCTGGGCCCCAGGTTCGGGCAGAGTGGGGAAGAGGAGGAGGAGGAGGAGGAGGAGGAGGAGGAGGAGGAGGAGGAGGAGGAGGAGTCATGAAGCCGCGCGACGGCAAGCTGAACAGTCGCAGCCAGGGTATTGGACTTCGCAGGCAGGCGCTGCCAGGCACCTCGGGGAGGAATGACGGAAGGGGGGCACGAGGATGTGGAACACTGACATCCAGTACCGTTTATCGTGTCCCTACCATCCCACCACTCCAGTTGGGGGCATGCCCCTCGAACCCGAAGGACACCATTTGTGTCCCGGCCAGTCGGGCCCAGGCCAGGCCAGTGGGGACACGGTAGATTCGCGTCGTGCCAACCGGCGGCGACCTCGCCGCCGGCGTTCAACGTTGACCGCCGCCAGCGACCCAGAATCGTTCGATGTTGAACGATGGTGGGCCGGTTTTCCACCACCAGCACCAATGTTAGAGGAGGAGGGGGTCCTCCTCTTTTTCCTCCTCCTTCTCCTCTTTTTCCTCCTCCTCCTCGTCCTCCTCCCCCTCCCCCCCTCCAACTTATCGTGGTGGTGGTGGAAGACAGGCCCATCGAACGATGTGACGCTCTGGACATGGGAGGTGGCCGATCGCTCCAGGTTGAACGATCCCCGCGGTGCCAGGAGCCAGCGCCGAAGTCGACACGGCACGAGCCTGCTGCAGGGATCGGTGGAGCGATGCTCAGAAGTGGCATTGCCGGCCAGAGAACGCCATCCGTCGGGGACTGGAAGGGGGGGCGGACGCTGCAGCGGAGCAGGCCCACGTCGGCACCGCGGGCGGGTGACACTGTGCTCCGTGGCCCCTGACATGGGCTTGGCATCGCTCGGACGTGTGCATTTTCTCGGCGAGGACCATCGGGGACCACCCTGGACCATCGAGCAAAAAAAAAACACGCACGAAACCGAAAAATGCACGGGAGATGGACGTCCGAAGGCCGGCGGGGAAGGGCGGATGCGGATGGAGGCTGGAGAGCGGAGGTCTAATCCTTGCATGTCTGTCCACATCGCCAGTAGCCTTCCCTGCTCCTGTCATCATCCCCCCCTCTGCCCGAGTGTGCCGGTATCGGTTGCGTTTGCTCGAGCCCGGCAGCCTGGCCTCGTTTACATACAGCGCCCGTCCCCGCAAAACACCAACACCCCTGGAGATCCCGTTCAAGTAACCGAACCGACAGCCCAACGACCCTCAGAGATCCTGTTCACCCCATCCGCACATCATCCCACCGACCCCCGACCCGTACATCGAGCACCCCTCGAGATATCGTTCAACCAGCCAATGGCTAATTTCTGAGCCTACCGGCCCACAAACCAGACAAGAATGATCACCTCCTGAAGCTCTAATCTCGTCAGCATCGCAATTGTTTTGGCTCAAGCTCGGCTCTGGTTATTTAAACCAGGCCCAGCCAGCGCATCTGCGGCCCTGCGTAGCTCCAGAAGCTACCGCCGCCCGTTTCACACATCTGGCCGTAGGCACGGCGGAGTCCCGGACCACGCAGGACCGACCGCATGCGGGACGTGACGCTCGACTCATTCGGCAGGACCAGGAATCTGATACATCCATTAGAGAAGGAGTCTCATGCAGGCATTTCGGAATCAGATAAGTACTTGCAGAGAGTCTACCCCTTCAAAGATTTCACGACTGCCGACTCGCTACCCCTTGTCAGCTCCAGCAGCAGCCAGAATGGTGCCTCCTTGACGTTGGAGACGATGCATTCGACGCAGGATGCACTCCTAACTCTGGATACACTCCCAACCGTGGAGGACAGAGGTGACGCCGATGAGCTGGCCCCTGGCAAGCCCAAGGCCGCTGTGCCGTCCCATAGTGTGACGGTGCCGCCAGCTTGGGGCATACACGCCTTGTTTAACTTAGGGTATTCGGTGAAGGAAGTCATAGGCAGCAACAGGGCCGACGTCGTCATCCGCCGCTGCGTGGTTCGTTCCGGGAACCACAGCGTGGCTGTGAAGTGCCTCTCCAGTAGGGACCAGGACCAGCGGGATGCAGTTCGGAGAGAGTATGACCTTCTCAGAGAGATGGCCCATGAGAGCATCGTCCAGGCGATCGCACTGCATCAGAGCAAGTTCGACGTGTGGTTGTGCATGGAGTACTGCCAGGGGACGGTCGAGACGTACGTGAACGAGAACGGCCCAATTCGCGCGGATGCCAAAGAGGTGCAGCTTCTCCGCGAGCTGGCCGAGGGCGTCCACTACCTCCACACGCGCGGCGGCGTGGCCCACAGGGACCTGCGGCCCTCGAATCTGCTCCTGAGGCCCAGGGAGGCCGGCCTCAAGCTGAAGATTGGCGGGTTCAGCCGCGCACGCCGCTTGGCAGGCCGCGTTGCGCTCGGCAAGGGGGTCAGCCCGAGCATGTACAGCCCCCCGGAGGCAGTCGGAGAGGAGCAACTCTCCTAGACCTCTCAGATGGGGTCCGCCTGGTTGGGATCGGAGTGCTGCGCCGCAGCACTGATGCATCGGCGATGCCGCTCGATGTTGACACCGTTTATCTCCACGCCGACGGCGCCGATGCCTCGCCGATGCATCGCCGACGTATCGCTGATGTATCGCCGATGCATCGGCGATGCGGCGCGATCCTCCGAGCCCACCTGCTGGAACCCCATTGAGGATGCCTCTAGAATGGCCGCCTACACAAACGTTCAGAGGTCCCCGCGGATTTCTTGGATCTGCGTCGAGGCCCCCCTGGCGGCGCCTCCGCCGCAGCCCCTGGCGCGCTCCGCGCGCCAGTGAGGGGGGCCAGCGCGGGACCTCCGAAAGCTGGTGTTTGTACGGCTTTTCTTGCCCCAGGTATGGCTCGGCCACCCGGGAAGGGAGGAGCCTGCGGACCTCTGGTCGCTGGGCATGTGCATGTGGTTCGTGCTGCTCGGCGAGGCACGGCTGCCCGTGCGCCTGGAGGACAGCAACTCCGTCAACGCCTTCCTCCTGCTGGGCCTGCCAAAGGGCCGCTGGGCCGGCCTGAGCCACGCGGTGGAGATGCGTCTGCGTCAGTGCCTCGCGCCGCAGCCCAACAGCCGCCCGGACATCGCGGAGCTCCTCGCCGAGGACGAGGCCTTCTTGTGGCCGTCCCGCGCGCACCGTGCCCCCGCCCTGGCGCCGGAGGGCCAGCCCGCCTGGGCAGGGGAAGCGGTGCGGGCTTCAAGCTGAGAGTTGGAGTTGACGGGGCCTCTCCGCGCGCCCCGCCCATTCCTCGGCCTCCGCCGCCTCCTCCTTTGTCTCATCCTCCGACTCCTCCGCGTGCCCCGCCTCCTCCGCATGCCCCTCCTCCGCGTGGGCCCCTCCTCGGCCTCCTCCGCCTCCGCCGCCCCCCCTCTGCCACAGCGCCGTGGTCGTGCAGCGCGAAGGCGGCCGGGCGCGGCCAGCAGATGCTGGCTTCCACCCCGGTCCGGGTCAGGGATTGCGACCCGCAGGCCTGAGGGAGCATCGTCAGTCAGCAGCCATTGTGTGTATATGCGCGCTCGTTGCTGTTTTTGCGCCGCCCCCGCGAAGGCGCACTTAGACTTAGGGTCGAGAGTTGTCTCAGTCCCTCGTTCCATTTACTGCGCCTACCTTCTCGCATGGCTCTTTTCTGTCGCTGGCGCCTTCTGGTGTTCAACACCCCTACGACAAGGCGTTCGTCGAGGTCACCGGCTAGTTGCCGTTGTGTGCTCGACTGGCCTGGAGGCACCGCTGGAAAGGCTCACCGCGTAAGCACATGCCGCATAGTGGTATGCGGCGGGCGCTTTCGCGGTGCGCCTCTCCAGCGGTGGCATCAGCTAGTTTGCTCGGCTCGCTGGTCTCTCCTCCGCCTTCCTCATCGTGACTTCTCCCAGACCTCTTTTCCCCTCGCGGTATGCTTCCCCTCGAGGCGTGGTTTTGCAGCAGCCAGGCTTCGCAGCGCGCTCCTCTCTCCCTGCCTCTCCTGGCAGTCCACTGCTCCCTCGTCGGTTCTGGTCCAGTTCTGGTAGCTGAGTGCCCAAACGGCCGGGACACGCTCCAGTCGCCGCCCGTCGACCTGCTTGATGAGAAGAGAGTCCCGGAAGCCAGAGAGAGGCACGAGCCTCCAGAATGGCCGGTCGGTGCACAGCCGGCATCTTTCAGCGATAATTTGTTAAGAACGTGAGGACACGACCTGGGCTTCTGCCGATCTCACGTCAGTTTCGCAGGCCGAGGTTAAAATCAGGTGGCGCGTTCCACGCAGGGCCTCGCCTTCGAGGTTCGAAGGAGTCGTCATCTCCTCCGCGGCGGAGGGCGGCGGAAGCGCGGCGGAAGGTCGGCGCAGACGAAACGAAGGCGCCTCCGCCCGCGGAAGGCCGGCGGAAGGCCGGCGGAAGGCAGGCAGCGCGCCCCCAAGTGACGAACACGTTTCTGGGCGCCCGGGGCTTCGGAGTCGGACTTGTCCGAAGCCCCTCGGCCCACCGGTTCCAGGCGCACGGGGCGCCCACGAGGCGCCCGCGCGCGGCAGCGTGGCGTTTGACCTCGGCGGCCCCACCCCGCGCGCACCGGGGCGCCGACGGGCGGCAGCGGGGCGAAGCCGCGGCGGAGGCAGCCCAACGCAGGGGCAGAAGCAGGAGCCCCTGTCTGCCACCGCTGCCCGGGGAGCCAGAAAAGCCCCAGGGTCGCAGGGCTAGAGATTGACACCAACACCAATGTCGGCGGTGTTCCTCCACCGAGGGAAGAAAGATCCCGATCTCGGTGATGGTGGTAATATTCTGGCTTCAAAGTGGCCGAAATATTACCACCAACACCGAAATCTAGGATCATCTCCCCCCTGTGGAGGCAACCCCCTGTCTTAGTGTTGGTGCCCATTTCCAGGCCTCCCACAGGGCGAGGAGATCTACTGTTGGGGCGTTGGGGCGTTCAGGCACGGCCTTGCCTTCGAGGAGCGAGGGGGCTGCCATCTCTTCCGCGGCGAAGAGCGGCGGAAGCAAAACGAGACCACCTCTGTCAGCGGACGCCGGCGGAAGCTCGGCGGAAGGCGGCGGGAGTACAAGATGTGCCAAGAGATGAGCATGTCGCCATGCGGCTCAGGGTTTCCGAGATCGCCCATATCCACCGCCGCTGGCCAGGCCCATCCTGAACCCCCTGGAGCGGTGCATCTGCCTCCCCGGCAACGCTCAGAGCTCGTCGCCCCACGCCCAGCGGCGTCCCGGGCTTCCGCTCCACACAGCAGCACACTCGCTCGCCCTCCCCCCCCCGCGGCCTGCCGACCGAGCTCCCCCCTTCCGGAGAGCCCGCCCGACCCGTCGGCCCGTCGCCCGGCCGGCCCGCGGCGCCGCAGGGCGGCCGCCCCACGCCGCCACGGAGGAAGCGGGTCCCGAGGGAGGCTCGGGGCCCCCCCGAGGGGGTCGGAGCGGGCGGGGTCGATGTGGAGCCCGATGTTCTCCATGCCGACGTCGCCGACGTATCGCCCACGTCGCCGAGGCATCGCCGATGCATCGGCGATGCATCGGCGGCGCGATCCTCCGACCCCACACATATGTATGTGTATATATATATATATATATAGATAGATATGTGCGTATTGGGCCTCTAGAAACGGGTCCTGAGGTTTTCTCCCAGTTTCTGGCTCTCCAGGGAATCGATATTCGGGGACCCTGGCAGGCGGTGGACGTGTATATTTTCGGGAGCCCTTGGGTCAACATCTACCCACATCCCACCGCCCGCTGACTGCCCAGGACGACTGTTCCCCAGGCGGTGGCCATGGATATCATCCCGCCTCCTACGGAATGCGACCGCAACAAGAGATCCCAATCAGACCATCGGCCCACGAGCCCCGTCGCCCCACGGTCCGCAAAGGGAGCACCTCCAGAAGCACCGGTCGACGCAGATCCCGCTGCCTCCAAGAAGCGGGAGCCAGCTCAGGAATCAACAGGAAACCATGCCATTGGGGACCCGATCAGTCATCAGAACACGCATTGCGACAGACACGGCTGGCGCTGCGGGAGGCCGTGCGGAGTCTGAGGATGCCGCTCCGTAGGGATCCAAGCAGCCACCAGAAGCAGTGCAGCACACAGGGCAGGTTCTCCAGAGCGCCCCCGCCGCAGGCACTGCTCAGTGAGCGGAGCTTCAGCCTGGGAGATCCTGCCTGTAAGTGGCAGCGTGCGGGATGGGGCGGATGGGCGGTTCGGCAGGCCATCCTTCGTGGACCATCCGCCCTGTGGAAGAGCGGGCGAGCCGAGAGGGGAGAGCGAGACGCGGTGAAGGTGGGGTGCCGGAGCCGTGGGCCCGAGGAGGATCCTGGGGCAGGCGGCGCAGAAGCTGCTGGAGCACGCGAGCGGCCTCCAGGCGGGCCAGGGCCTCCCCGTCCAAGTTCCCCACCCCCTCGTCGTCCTCCCTCCCCCCCCAGGCCCTGTTCTGTCCCTCCTCCCGACTTCGCCGCTCCTCCCTCCTCCGTGACCCTCTCCCTTCGCTCCCCCCCTCTCTCGTCCCCCCTCCTTTGGATGCGACTCCTGGGAGGTTCGGTGCAGAATCGTCGCTGGCATATTCCTGATCGAAAACTGGCCTAGTCTGGCGTACTCTCGTTCAGTCCTGGTCAATATTGGGCTGAATCCGAATTCGGCTCACACCCGGGCCTGATCCAGCCTCGTCCCAGCAGCCTGGCCAAATCTGGCTTCAGAGCCCTCAGTCGTCCTGACGCAGACCTCCCAGGAGTTGCCTCCGAACCCTTCGCGCCCCTCCCCTCTCGTCCCCACTCCCTCGCCCTCCCTCCCTGTCTGCAGGAGCGCGACGGCAAGGTCGCCTACAAGACGGGCTGGCGCGGCGCGCGCCAGAAGAGGACCGTCAAGGCCCGCGCCGTGCTGCGCCGGCCATCCGGGCGCCGGAGGAGGAGAGGAAGGAGGACTACACATCGTTCATCTCTTATTATTCGAAAGTTCTTCGACTTTTTGGGGGGCCAAGATCCTTTCATTTCTCATTGTTCTATCCTGGGCCTCTTCCTGGCCACTGGGGGGCCAGGAACGATGAGAAACGAGCACACTTAGCAAGGAGCCCGATCAGAAACGAACGACGTGGAAGGAGGGCTGGCGGATGCTTGCAGACGTGCCGTGAGGGTGCTCGCAGGTGCTCCGGCCATCCCCTGAGGTCTGCGGGGCCGGGCGCTGCGTGCTGGGGCTCGCAGCGCCCGGGTGGCCTCGCCGGGCCCGGCCCTGCACGGGCCCCGGGGCCCTCGCCAGCCTATCCGACGTTCCGCTTTTGTTCGAGGCACGGGCCCCCGACCCCCCGACCACTTCCCGGCGGTCCCCGAGGCCCAGCGAGGGCCCCGAGAGGCGGAGAAACGACAAAACATGTCCGTCTCGTTTGTGTCGAGACGCCCGATGTCCTGCGCGCGTGGGTCAGGCGCGCGGGAACGGAGGGGTCTAGCCCAGGTCGTGATTGAGGGTCGGGTCGGCCTAAGTCGTTGCTTCTTTCTAGGCCTCCTGGACGGGGTCGGGGTATCTGGGGTCGGAGGATCGCGCCGCGTCGCCGATGCATCGCCGATGCGGTGGGGCCCGATTTACTTCACGTCGACGTCGCCGATGCATCGCCGACGTCGACGATGCATCGCTGGTGCATCGCCGATGCATCGACGATGCATTGGCGATGCGGCGCGATCCTCCGACCACATCTACTCGGGCCCCATCTAGGAGGCCTCTATTCTCACAGCCCATTGTGCTCCTCCTCTGCCTCCTTTTCGATCCTCCTCCGCTCGTCGCCCTTGCCGTTGTCGTCGTCGCCGTCCGCCTGCCCCCCCCCTTCCCTCCCCCCCAACCCCATGCATAGCAGAAAACCGCGTCCCCGACACAAGCCGAACCCATCGTTTCTCTGATCTTTTGAATTCCCAGCACGTCTCGAGACCCTGGGCGAAAGAACGGACCCACCAGCCAAACGTGCAATATTCGCCTCTTCCTGGTACGCTGTTAAACCTGGTGTCATCTGTCCCTGGCGTGTGGCATTCAGCCAGCACCTCCTGTGTGCTACTTGCGGCTAGCTTTCGGAAGGGATACGACTCATCTGTCATGTCCTGGGCGTGACCTCCCTGCGTTTCGCTCGAGGCCCGACCAGTCGACTTGTCTTCGCGCGTATACGCGTTAAGCTTACCATTGGGGAGAGAGGAGCAGAGATGAATATGTTGGACCACTTAAGTGGCTATGGAATACGCGTGCAGTGCCACACACACTGGAAACATAACATGCTATCACACGGTGCATTGTGCTCTTGGGAGGTCTATTTCTGTTCACGCCTCCCGAGGGGTGTGCTGCGAGCGAACGGTCCGCACACCCCCGAGACAGAACCGAGCCAGGCCCGAGCCATTCGAAGTCGATCTCACGCCCCTGGGGCCAACGGGTGTTGACCTTCTCGGGGCTTGAAGCCCATCAGCGCGCTGAATCGCTGAACCTTGTCTCGATTCAAGAACTTTGTGAGAAGATCTGCTGCCATCTCGTCTGTGTGCTTCTTCTCATGCGACACCTTGAAACGGTCCATCGCTTCCTGCGCCCAAAGCCACACAGTGTCGATGTGCTTGGTCTTACCAAGCCCGCGTCGCGACACCATGCCTATGGCAGCCGTCGCGTTCACATTGACACTGAGTTGATTCCAATCTAATGCTAAGGATCGCAAGCCGCACAACGCAAGCCGCACAACTCACTCATTAGAGTCACTAAGCTATAGTACTCAGCTTCACCACTACTGAGTGCTATGACAGACTGGCCGTGGCACCAATGATGCAAGCAGTGCAAACCGGCCATGATGGCGCCTCCTGACGTGTTCTTCCGTGCCCTGTGGCAGCCGGCGTGGTCTGCATCACACCAGCCGTCTAACCATGTAGCCGCTTCCTGGTTCTTGAAGTACTGCACAAGTCTAGGGTTGCCTCGGAGATAGCGTGCAGCATATTCAGCAAAGCCACGTGTCGCTCGCTTGGGGACTGCATCCCCTTGGCCATCTCACCAGCAGCTACACCTAAGTCAGGGCGGTCCTGTGCGACGTAGGCCAGCGTCATGCAGACCGACCGGTACCAGGTACGCTCCTCCTCTGGGATGATGACGTCCTCCTCCTCCACCGCGTCGGGCCGCTCACGGACCCCAGGCGTGGTGAGTTTGATGTTAGCTCCTCCTAGAGCCAACCCCAACTCGCGAATCACGGTGTCGACGTGCCGCGCGTCGCACTCCCACTCGATGCCCTCCGTCGTCCACGTCAGCAGCCAGTTCAAAGTACGAATGCTTTGAACTGTATCCGGCTCGCGGGGCGGGCCGAAGATGCCCTCCGCCTTGACGGTCCATTCCTTGCTCAGTTCCTTGAACAGCCAGTCGACGTCGATCCTAGAGGCCAGGCTCGCGAAGTTGTCGCCGTGGAGCGTCGGCCTGATGTCTCTGACCGCGTGCCAGAGGATACCAACGGGGAGCTCCGGCCCTGGCGGAGGCCTGAGGCCTTCATTTTGGTAGCCACCAGCTTCTCCCACAGGGAGGCGGCATCCCGCATCCCATACATTTTTGGTCGGCGGGGCGAGAGCGAACCTCTTCCGCTAAAAGCCAGGCGGGCTACGCACAGCTTTAATCATGGAGACAGGGCATAGGCGGGCGGGGCCTCAGGCGGCCGGAGTGGGCGGGGCCGGGGGTGCAGGCACCCCCCCCCGCATCCCATACATGGAACGAAGTAGTTTGCCACCCATGCCCCCTGTGATCCCGTGCGCCCGCCTGTAGTCTTCAGGGAGCTCCACAAGCAGCAATCGCTCGGCCATGGCCCAGAAGGGCGCCTCTTTCACGTCCAAGAACTGCAGCACGTACTGCCCCTTCTTGGCGTACACCACCTCCTTCTGGGGCAGCACGGACGTGACAGCGATGCTGAGGAGCATCTTCAACGATGCCAGTGGGGGCATTGCAGCAAAATGCTGCTCAACAGAGCCATTTTGACGAATCTCTTTCGCGACCAGCCGACTCCGAACCTGGTAATCGGTCTCGTCGCCCTTGTTCACGTCGACCCATCCCTTGCCGATCACCTTATGCCCAGTTGGTCGGAGCACCACCTCCCAGAGGCCGATCTTGTCGATGAATGTGATCTCCTCCATCCTCGCCTCCTGGGTCAGATCCTGGGGCAACACCTTGTCCGAAAGGTCGTCCCTGTAGCACAGGTCCTCAGGACCAATGTAGTCGTCGACGTCCCACTCGTACGTCTTCTCCACTGGTCCTGGACACTCGTCGCCAGAACCGCGGATTTCCATGAGCACGCGCTCCCTCTGGACCTCGACTGGGGTGCCGATGGCGTGCTCGACCTCGTGGTTGTCGCCGCTGCAGTCCATGAGCCGAGTCATGAATCCGACGGTGTCCTGCATGGCCTCGCCCTCCTCCGGGGCGGCTCGTTTCGCTCTGGATCCCTGCTCGTCCACCTCCATCCGGGGCTGCGGACCCGAAGCCGGGGCCGCAGCTCCGTCCACCTGCACCTCCTCGGGTGCCGGGGGCGGCCATAGCTCGAAGACGCAGCCGCGCCCCCTGCAGCCGCTCCAGGTGCAGGGAGGGGGTCTGGACCCTCCAAGACAAGCCATTACAGACCTCCCCCGTGGGAGAACCCTCCAAAACATTGTCCCCAGACCCCCCAGGCCCTCCAAGATAGCCTGGAAGAGACCCCCCCCGAAATGAGACCCCCCTCCCTTTCTTACGAAATCCGGAGTATCCTGGGCCGCCTGCCCGCGCTGCTCTCCACAGGCTGGCCCACGGCAGGCCTCTGCTCGGCGCGCCGCACTCTCGCAGCCAGCAGCCGAGCATCACGAGTGGGGTCGGCCGCGCCTGCAGCTCCGACCCGCCCTCTCTGCACTCCAACAACCCCGACCTTGGGTGGCCCACGTGCGTGGCCAGGCACGCCGGGCAGCCCTCGGGGGAGCCGCACGCCTCCGAGTCCGCGATCGTGATGCAGTAGCGCCTCTGCTGCCTCCCCTGCTCGGCCGCCCCCGCGGGGACGGGAGGCACCTCGGGGCACCTCGGGCTCGAGCTCCGTAGTGCCGGGGAGCGCGCGCGCTGCCTCGTCCTCCTGGGCCGTCCGGGGCAGGCTCCCACGGGAGGCACTTTCGCTTGCTCAGCGCCTCGGAATCGCAGCGCTGGTCTTCGGGCACCCGCCGCACCGACTGCACAACGAAGACGCCCCTCTCGGTGCCGACGATCTTCTCCGTCGACTCCAGCTTTACGCCCAGGAAGAGACCTCTCTCCCATCGCGCCTCCAGCTTGTGGCGCGTCCTCTTCTTGAACTCCACGCTCTCGCCGAACGCGGGGAGTGCCACTTGCCACTCCTTGCCCTTCACCCGCTGCAACGGCGTCATACCGTCGTCGCCGCGGTTGAAGATATAGAACAGGTTCGACGCGTGCTCGATGAGCCACGCAATGACAAGACTCTTCGGGTCCAGCTTCATGCGAGCGTACTGCTCGACATGCTCCTTCAACGTCCGCACGAGCCCGTGTATGCTCTGGACCGCGCGCTCGGCTTCACCGTTGCTGGCCTTTTCGCCTTTCGGGGCCAGCTCGGCGAGCATCTCGCCGGCCCACGTCTCCTTCAACTTCTGGAGTATTGCCTTGATGGAGCTCTCCTGGTCGCTCTTGACGTTCACCTTCTTGTGCCCGAGCCTGTTCAGGTCATTCGCCACAACACGCACCGGGTACATGCTCATCTTCCCGACCCTCTCCAGGCCCCTGTGCGGCACTGGATGTGCAAAAGGGCACTTTGCCTTGCGATCGTATGCCACGATCACTGGCAGGTCCTTCCCCGCCACTGCCTCGAAAGGCGCTTCCCCAGGTACTCCGAAGAAGCCGCAGTCCGCGCCCGAAGG